TGCAAACGCTGAAAATTTCCATTCTTATGTTGTTATAATTCCAAAGGTGACCACTCTTAGTGACTCGGGAAAAATTAGCGCCTTATAAGGCTGCTATCAAGCAACCCTTTTTTTAAGATCAGCTTATTTTTTCTATCGGTATTTAAATTAAGTATAATAGGTAATTTATAATATATTATTAGTTTAGCATATATTCAAAGGCCAAATTTAACTAAAATTGTAAAAAATTACTAAAAATATTAAGAGATTTTCGTCAATTTTTTACTCTCTTGAAAGAATTTTTCCCTCTAAGTTAGAAAGTGATAACTAATTATTTCATTTATCATATATCGTTTAATCTAGACCCGAGTAAGTCTTACGTTTAACAAAGTAGATAGTTAATTTTTAAGAAAGTTAACTACTGTAATTTATTGCACTTTTCCCCTTAATTTCTCGCCAGCAGAACAGCTAATATTTATTATGAAAAAGGCATTTATAACTGAGAAGCCTTAAGATAGCTGTAGTTTTGAACACATAAGAATCTTAATATAGGGACTATAGACTTTGGTAGTACTGTTTTAAAAGATAAAAGTGTATTTTAACACAAAATATAATAAATTTAAAATAACAAAAAGAAGTAACTTGCTAATTAAAAAAAAATTCAGACTAGAAAGGAACTTGTCACCATTATAAGAGGGATAGGAATATCTAGAGAAAAAAGAACAGGATTAAGGTAGGGGCATAGCTCGGAAGTATTATAACCCTAGTAACGTTTAATCTTCCAAGGAGCTATAAAGCGCCAAACTAACAAATTAAATTAATAAAAACTCAGAAACTTAATAATAATAATAAGGAAAACTAAGACTAAAAATAAAAGATATACCGAAAGTATAAAAAGAACAATTATTATTAAAACGAATTTTAAGAACAAATAAATAACAAATGAGAGTTGAAGCAGAAAAAGTAAAGCAAATAGTCAAGAGCAAAAGTAAGGCAGCGCTTTTTTAAAAAGAATATAACCAGACCCAAGGTGGGAGGCTTGCTATAAATCCATCTTGACAGTAAATTCCTCGTGCCTGCCAAATTACTTAGAGTATATATATTTTAAAACTAAGTTTAAAGAAATAGTAGTAAGAGCGAAGGATATAAAAAAAACTGGGAATCTAAGGGTGTCTTATAAAAAAGTACCGAAGACGGGCGTTGGTCGTCTAGTATATTTAAAATTATTCCTTGGAAAATATTGTCTTTGAAATGTTGGTTGCACGAGCAACCAATTAAGCCTTATTTTAAAAGATAACAACCATCTTTTAGAAAAGAACATCCAACTATGGAAAGACATACTTCTCGAATTATTAATTGGGCCTAGTTAATTCCGTGTACGCTCGACTATAATTTAATTTCCTGTTGAAAATTTATTACAAAGCTCTATATTAAAACTACTTCAAATTCCTCAAAAACTCAAAACCCACTTTAAAGGTTAAAAAGCGCCACTAGACTTAAATTTTCGGGGGAGCAGCAAGAATACTGACGAAAATAGCAATTTATATCCAAATATGAAATCTCTTACAATGCATCGTGTATAGAGTTTAAAGGTTTTAATTTAGATTAAGTTTGTGTTATCTTAATAATAATGTATATTACATTTTTTTTTTTACAAGGAAAGTTATAGGGCGTTCGAAATTTTTAACTGTTTATTTAAAGGTTAACTCCTTTTTCTTTTCTTGTGCAGTGTATAAGGTAGGAAACATGATCGCCAGAAAGAAAAATATTGAGGAAAATATTATGCTTAGCGTTAAAAACGGCGAGTATTTGAGAGTAGGATGAAAGGTGCTATACTGATGAGCAAAAACCGAGACGTAACCCAAATCAATGTATGAGAGAGAGTCCCTTAATAAAAGATAAGTTGCCAGGGACAAGGAAAATAACGGAACTCTATAATAGATATATATTTAAGTGCAGATAGTAACACTAATAGATAAGAACATTACCCAAATACAATTAGAAACCAGGAGACAAATGGTTTTACCCATGGTATAGTGAAAATGAACAACAAAGTAATAATTGCCAGACCGAAGGTAATTGCACATAGTACGCGCCCTAATTTTAACAATTACATTAATTGTAAACAAAAACACTTAATTATCGCGCTCTTGTAGGTTTACTTCTTTACATATAATACCAACATTATAGTTCCTGCATGGGGCTTCATCAGAGCCTATCAAAGACGTTCGTCAGATATAATTTTAAAAAGAAAAATGTAACTGTAAACCTTGAAAGATTGTATGCTTATAACCCTCAGCATCAAAGGAAAAAGTGCAGTCCCTATCAACTTTTGAGCATATAGTCTCCGAAGTTATTTTTAGTTTAATGCAAGCACTATATAATCCTAGTTCATGACTCTAATACAAACAAAAATATCCAAGTTGTTTTAAAATAACGTAAAGCGTTATAAATATTGCTATTATTATTTGTTGGTAACTCATTATGCCAAAAAAAAGTTACAAAAGGATGAATTATTTGTTAGATTGTAGCACTACAATATTAATTGTTTTATACTGTATATAACGTATCCAAAGTTGCGAGGTTGGTGGCTGCTAATAGAAATCCTTGAAGGATGGCCACTACTACTGTTACAATAATTACTAACAAATAGAAAAAAATACTGAAAAAACGCATATTTAAAAGTTAATTATTATCTGCTTCTAAAGATGTGTATTAATATTATAAATACCTTAATTACTCTTAACCTTAAAATTAGCAATAAAGAATATATTACACAAAAAGTAATTAAAATTAATTGTTCACTTCAACTTTTGGAAATTAGTGTTGCTACGATCCACTTGTAATACACTCTGTAACTTGGAGCGTTTTTAGGTAAGGTGCTCAGCCACTTATTGAGGAAATTAGATGGTTTTACTAATTAGTATATAAAAAAATTACATTAATCTGCTTATGGAGAATAAATCTGAAGCCCCGGGCCTAGTGACCAAGGTCGTTTCTCCTAGTAGTGAAAAATTTTTTGCGCTTTTGAATTACACTTGGCCAAATTGAGGAGAGCCAGGGGCTATATCCCGTCGCTCATTCGCAGTTCTACCACCAAATACATCAGCGAGAATTCTGAACAGATTTACTATGCCAGTGCTAAGAAAAAACTTAGTTAACTTTTTTGGTAGTCGCGGAAAAAGGGGCTATTATACGTCAGTCTACAGAACAAAGGTATGAAGCTAATAAGGTCTTCAGAGCAAAATTATTAATATATATTGACAGCTAGTATATTTTGCGGTATAGGCAACCAATGTCTTTAAAAAATTCATTCAAAAAAGCAAGACAGCTATTTATATTACAAGTTTTAGGTCTTTAAACGGTAGTGAATTATGCCATAAAGTGTTTACTTTAATATATAGTTATAAAAGTACTGGTATTTATTTTTGCACAGAAGACTAATAATTTTTTAACCAATAGGTTATTTGTAAATTTATACTATCTTAAGCGTGTAAAATTAAAACTTTTTACTAAAAGGCTGATTTCTTCAATTTATTAAGCAGATAATAGATTGCTTGACAAATCTTAGGGTGTTTATTTTAACTAGTGCCTTGAAAGCGCTATCAAATGATTAGTTAAAAGAAAAGTAAAAATTATCTAACACCGAAAAAATTTTTCAAGCGGTGGCGATTTAAGAGAGATATACAAACTTAAAAAAATCGTGTGCTTTTAACATATATATGTTAATCCACCACCAGGATTGAAAGTTGTCGTCGTAGCTCAACGGTTAAGAGTTTGTGTTATATTGCTTTTGATAAGCCTAGACTTGGTAAACTAGCCTTAACTTTTTTATTGTTACAAATATAGTTCTATAAATTTAGGTAATTTTAAATCAATGCTTTTATACAGGTTCAATAGTAATATCAGTCGACATTACTATAATAATAATAATTGTACACTGAGCGGTTCTCGAGGCCTTTTTCTTATTTTTTAATAGTAACGACTACCACGCATAACGCCACCGAGTGCATTTAGCTGTCTCTCTAAAAGTATCTTCATAGCCAAAAATTTCCTTAAGTGCTAAACTTGGGAAAGATAAAGCTATTCTTTCTGCCTTGTGATCTACAGCTTCTAAATACCAGCTTTTTAGGTGAAAATCAATAAAATCACAACAAATAACAATATTATGAGATGAATGTGCAAAAGGTGGATCTCACGTTCTGGTCTTTGGAAAGTAAACAGTACGCTACGAATCCACCTTATCGCTATTACTTTTAAAAAAATTGTAACTGCTAAAAAGGGGCATTAACATTTTTAAAAAGGTGTGAAAACAAAAGACCAGAAAAATGAAATACGGGGAGCAGAGGGCCTTTGTTTGTGTGCAGCCCCACCGGCATTTGTTGGTATATGGAAACCGTTCAGCAGAAAACTTGCTTCTTTCTTGTTTCTAATAGGTTGGATTATTTAATTAAATTATCGTTTTATTTATAGAAATTGCCTTTTCAATTATATTAAATTAACTTTGCCTCCCCTTTTAAAAAAGTAAAATATGATTTACTTGTAAAACTGGGCCATATGTTCTTCTGCTATTAGCAGGAAGTTGCTCGTTATAAAATACTTATAAATTAAGAGTTTTTCTTTTCGTGGCAACAATTCGTTAAAACTACGACAACACCTCGTGGTGTTAAGCCGTTCTTATTTAGACTTATTAAAGAATGCTCCCTCTCAAGATGACACGGAATAAAAAAAAGCAAATACATCAGTTCCTTTTATTATTATTGAACTTTTTTAACTTTTTTGCTTTACGTGTCCCGCCAACTGATTTTCTTTTTCCCTCTTGCTCTTTTAATTCCTATGAGACGTGGTGCTAATAAACGCAAAACCGAGCGGAACAAGTTATGAGCGACCAAGTGTGCAAAGCGCTGAGCTTCAATAACGCGCTCGGCCAGCAGCATTACCTCCGCGTCTTCACTAGGAAAAAGCTCCATCTAGCCGACCTACCGGTAAGCAGCGCTTTATATTAATCAAAATAAAAAAACTTTTCTATTGATCAGCAGTTCGATCCTCTGGAAACACTCAACATCGTACTGACTGACAAAGGTTACTGCCCGTCCAGCTCTGGCTCAGTGAGCAAACGAGGTTAGAGAACCAAAATCTTAGTTGGCTCAATCAAAATTACTTTCCCGCACGTGCTGTCCTTCCCACACGGTGAATGTAGTCCTTCGAGTGCAGCGGAACGTCATAATTAATGACCAAATCAACATCCGGAATATCCAAACCCCTTAAATAAGATGGTACCTTCTTCTAAAACAGAACAATAAAGGTGTAAAAAGAACCTGCTGGCGACGTCAGTGGCAATCAGCACTGAAGATCCAGAACTTTTAAATTTATTTAAGGCTCCTGTAAATTTTATGTACAAGTGTAATAAAAAATAACATAAACAGTGCGAGTATATACCCAAACGTTTCGGTTGACTTAAATTCCCGTGAAGAGGGATAGCAGGAAGGCCGAGATTGTTTAGCATAAGCGCTAGCCTAGCAGGTAACCACAATTATGTATAAAGCCTTTAGAGTCAAAAGCTAGAGGGGAAAACCGCTGAGCAGTTGCACATGTAGACACGAACACCATCTCCGGGGTAAGAAAAAAAAAGGTAGATAAAACTATCATAATAAAGTAATAAGGTTAAAGCATACAATCGAATTCCCCGAACTTTCGTTAATAAGCCACGTGAGGTAAACATCTTTTCGCTTGGCTGGCATGAACATGTAATTCTGTATAAGTTTAGCCACTGTTTGGTACCTGTTTGGTATTAATTAAAGAATCTCTCTATAGAGAAATTAACATTCAAAAAAAATAAAAGAAGCTTTTACTTCGTGGAAACTTGTATCTTTACAGGATTCTTCAAAGACGCTTTCTGCAACTTGGCTACCTTGTAGTAGACTGAACAGTACTACAGGGAATATGGATAAACCACTTTAGTTTACTTTTTCCGTCATAGTAGCAGAATATAAAAAGGTTCTTCTTTCTTTGGGAATGACAGAAATAATTTTGTTCAGATCCTCACCGAAATCCAACGTGAGCATGCGATCAGCTTCGTCCAGCACCTTGTCTCTGTATGGATGAGGACAGAAGAAAGAGTAGAAAAGTAATCAATAACCAAAAATTTCAGCTTTTTTAAGGTAAATCCTTTTGTGTTTTCGAGATGATCGACGAGTCTGCCGGGAGTTGCCACCACGACGTGCGGCCCTTTCGCAAGAGTAATGGCTTGCTCGACCATGTTAACCCCGCCAACAATGACTGCAGTCTTCACTCCTTTTTTTTTTTTTAAAAAAAAGTAAAATATAGTCGACTTTCCTAATAATATTGTAATCTACCAATCGAGGATCCCAAAGCATTGAATTGCTCAGCAATTTGAAAAGCAAGCTCCCTGTGTGATTAAATATTCTATCAAATACAAAGAAAAACAATTTTTTTAACCTAGTAGGCGTAAGAACCAAGCAAAAACACACTTGTGGCTTTTCAAGTAAGAAATGTAAAACAGGTAAAGCAAATGAGCCGGTTTTTCCAGAACCTGTCTCGGCGAGACCAATAATATCTTTTCCTAAAGCAGTGTACGTAAAAATTATATAAAAATGATTTCTTCAACGGTCAAGCTGATAAAGATAACCTTGTAACGCTACAGGAATAGCTTGAGCCTGTATACTAAAGGGTTTGTGCCAGTTTAACAGTTCACAAGTCTCACATAATTGGGGCGCCAAGCCTACGAAATATATTATTATGTTTATAACAAATATATGTTTTTGATAAAAAAGACACCTAGTGATAGGAAAGAAAGCTCGTTTGCCTCTTCCCCTCGTTTACAGGGGGTCATATACCAAAATACTGTAGCTTAACGGCGGGAACTAGAAACACTCACTAAACAAAGCTTGACGACGGCTACAGCATGTGACTAGCCAAGCAGAGTCCATGCTTTTGTCAGGTAGTGGGAGCGAAATAGTACAATCTCGAGAGCGGTGCTTACATTAAGGTTAGAGAGCCTAGACGATTTTGGTGTGTATTTAAGACACTTCAAAAGTAAGACGAGCAAACTCCACTGACAAACTTGCCAAGTTTGGATCCAGGGTTATATTCGTCCTAAGCTTACGGAAGAGTTAAAACTAACCTGCTTAATCGCTAGTTAAATGAGAAAACTTAGGCGTACTTTTATATTGGGATTGATAAAATAAGTGCTGTAAAAGGCATGGTTTCTTATGTTACATATGCACAATTAAAAATATCAAAGAGTTAAAGTTATATAACTAAGATGAAGAGGAACGAAGCAGGCCTAATGTTTTAAAAAAAAAAGAAGCAAAATAAACGCCAGCCAAATTAAAATAAGAAAGAATTTTTTTACTTTTTTCCTAGCTTTAAATAAAAGCAAAGTCAAAATCTAATAATACGTAGTGTAATATTTTGCAAATGCTAATACTAACAATCTTTTTCGAGGTAGCCTGTTTTGGCGCCACTAATAGCATCCATAACGGTAAACTAAATTATATTTATAATCTAAACGTACATAGTATCCTATTAACACGCCGTTTAAAAATTTATAGCAGTTTTATGACTTTATTAAATTTAATTTTAATTTGTGGGCTAACCAGAGGGCTAAGCGCGTAGAAAATTGTTTACAAAAAACATAGAAAACTATTTTATTTACATAAATATAGTGTAATTGCTTTCAATTATTAAATAAATGCTCGCATAAACTCCTAAAAGAGGAAATATTATCTAAAATAAATTGGGTAGCACCACAAAGAAAAAAATCTGTATAAAAGTATTGTCTCGTTGCTTCCAAGGTCTGTTATACATATACTTAAATAATCCGGTTACTTAAAAGAATAATTAAATCTATAAACAATTCACCTGTACAAAGTAAAGAATGGCTCCATAGAGCATTTGATAAAAAATTATTAAGCCTACGATACCGATAATTTTCGTTAATGTCAAAGTACTGTGGTGAAAAGTCATTCCTGTTAACGGATATATTTAAAGGTTTCGAGGCGTAGAGGGTAGGAAAAAAAATCTAAGTGTTTACTTAAAGCAAAGTAAAAGGTCGGTATAATAGTAGTCAATCCGTTCCCTATATCAATACACCAACCAAAGGAGCGTGAGTCAGAGTATAAGAAATCTAACAAAGAGTACGTCGACCTACATAGAGGAACTAATTGATAATGTTAAGATAAAAACTGAAGTCATACATACCATATCTTGCACCAATATCGAGCGGGAAAAAATTGACACAAAGAAGGTGTGTTGTTTAAAAAAAAGGGGAAAAAACCTCTTTTAGGTACTTTTTTCCTTAAGATTTGGAAGTCAGAGTTAATCTCTGAAATGAAGAAAGATAGGGCAATTTCCCATAAACAAAATATAATGTTAACAACGCTAAAAAGAGACGGCGAAAACTGAAAAAAGTTAAAACAGTTGTTTTGAAGAAAATGTAGTGGTATTAAAATAGCCAAAACGTTGTAATTACGCAGAACAAAGCTTGAAAACCAGATATCCTTAACTTAGACACTTGTTCTAGCATACAAAAAGGCATTTTCTGCCAACTTTGGCCAGCATAGAAAACTTTTAAAGAACTTCACCCTACGAAATTATCCAGTTATCTTTCCGTATTGCCGCAAAAAACACTCCAAGTCCACCACCAACCTATGAATTTTTTTTGTCAAAATGCACGTGGAAGTTTTCATTTTTAGCGATACTCGCAAAAGTCATAATATGCCTTTATATACTATAAGTAGATAAAATATGTATAACACTGTATTTGATAAAAATACTAATAGTTTAAAGCTATTTAATTACAGTTTTTTTTTCCATCAACCCCATATGTAGAACAACGGGTTGGAAGTAATATATGTATTTACTAACAGCTTGAATTTCATATCTCAAAAACTACTCTCTATTAGTTTAATGATGGTAATATGAAAAGTAAGGACGGCTCCTATCTCTAACCTATTTATGTTTTTAATCTTTTATAATTCGTTGGCCTTTTTTTTAACCATGCAGATGAAAAGTATACCAAATACGCTATCTCGACACCAAAAATGAGTGTGCACTACTATTGATAACATTAGTCGTAACTTGTTGGAAGTAACTTTACTTGTATGATGAAGACAAAGTGTTGCAAAATTTTAGTACGTATTGTATTGTTTATTATAAGCTTTAACTTACACGTAAAAATAAAATTGCAGGAGTTTATAAAACTAAAAGAACAGGCCAGTCCTACGAACTAAAAACAAAGCAACACCAGCCCGTTAAAAAAAACAACTCGAGGTATCCTTTTTAACTTTATATTTGTATTTATAATTTTGCAGCTCAAACAAACCAACAAAATTATTTGCACAATGTTACTTTTTATTAAAAAGTTAATGGAAAGCACAGTACCCCATTAAAATGCGTGGTAACGGAAGTAGTGGTGATAAAAGCAGTAGCAATCACTACAATAATAATTCCAAATATTACTAGTAATAATGGCAAGGGAAGTTATAAAATACCTCCTAATACTAAAAGAAATAAAAGTGAACATTATTTCCTTATCTGTTGCAGAAGATGTAGCTCTAGGAATTAGCGGTTGACCGTCCTCAGATGTAAATTTTGGAATGTTGTTAAGGTTACTTAGCCTTTAAGCGCTAGAATACTTTACCTTTCACCGCCCTCCGATAATGAAATTAAAGTTGTAATTCGCGGTATAAAAAGTTGAATTTCAGGACGCCATCATAGCGAAGTGATCAGAATGCGAATTTTTTATTAAAAACAAACCCCTTTGCCTCTTGTACCTATAAAGCTCCCTAACTCAGAATCGGAAGGAATTTACGCCACAAGAAATACAGCGGTTTATCTCCGTTACTGTGAGGCCTTTAAAGAAAACGTGAAGAACTGGTCCGTGCTTTCGGTACCAGTTACACGGACACTGATCAATTTTGCGCTTCATTGTTCAGATGTGTAAAATCTGGCGAGTCTCAGTCTCATGACCGCCAATTACCGTGGCTGTATTTTATCCTATGAATGCACCTCTTAGGAAGCGAAATTTTAAAGACAGTTCTACTAAAGTAGTGGAGGAGCCAATTATACCCTGGCGCTCTTACGCTCATGGACTCTTCGAAAATTTAATATTATGCCTACTTTTAACGATAATACGCAAATACTTATTGTTAATCAGGTTATGTCTTCACTATCAAAAGCCATTAGCACTCAAGCCGCTGAAGCCATACATGATCTTTTTAGTATCCTTTAAAAAAAACAATAGGTTAGTTATCTTTAACTGCGAATGGAGTTCGAGAAAAAAAATGAAATAAGCTAGTTAATAATGCAACTAAACATCCCAAGAATGGAAATATTTTTTATATCCAATTATATTGTATACAGGAGTACCCAAAAAATGGCGGAAGAGAAGGGGGGGTGCATCAATACTCATTAGCAGGCACATTCCCCACTCATTAATTGAAGTTAAAACTGAGGCCCTTGAAACTATTGGTATATAGCTATCCCTGCAGGACAAGGGCCGAATTTAAATTGTCTCAGCTTATAAACCGTCAGTTTTGGCTCTACATCAGATAGATCTGGACATTGTAATTGGGTCAGAACTGACATTGGGATAGTAAACGAGATAAGTCAAATGACTTGATTCTTCATGGCTGGACCGCACATAATGTAACGGTCGTTTTAGGGCCAAAGGAATCTGTTCCCTTCTTATCTTTTGGCACAAGAGGTCTCCTAGCGCAATGTGATACTTAAAGATATATCTCTTTCCATGCTTCACCCTCCTTTCTGCCCCAAATTTCTTCTGGCCACAACCCTATTTTGCACCAAGGAGAGAAGATAGAAGACCCCCACATAGTCGAATCGTTTGCTTAAAAAATACCAGATGTAACCTCTTTAAAAAATGCATAGATGATAACCTAACGACTTTTACATATCCTATTTCAAAGAACCGAATAAATTCGACGATTTTACAACTTAAGGAAGCAATACTTACCTCGTTGTTAGCTTACACAGCCGAGAAACGCTTTTCAGCTTTTAATATGTCCAAATACTTTAAATTAGTAAGAAGAAAATTGTTTGAGGAAAAAATACATGCTCAATTAATACCCTCCCGATAGGGTAGCCCCAATACATTAAAATAGTTTCTTACATGTTTTTATAATAATATATAAAACTTCAAAATAAGATCTTTAAATACACCTGGTAATTCCCTCTGGACAATGGCGAGAAACCTGAAGTTGTCATAGTGTTATAGAGCCAAAATACCGCCTTAAAAAACGTATGGAAAGACCCTTTTTGTAGCGGATAAAAGAACCGCTTACTAGCTCACTCGCTCTTATTAAATTTGACCCCGTCGCTTTAATGAGCTCTACTTGGGACACGTATTACGATGTGTAGAAAGCTCCCTCTCTAATAATGAAAGCTCCACTGCTATATTTTGCCCACATCAGAGAAAGAAATATTGAAAACCATTGCGTCGTCAATATTAAGAATCGTTTTCATCACAAATTTACTTAAAAACACCTTAGAACAAAGTCTCTTAGGTACATTACAATCATTAACTCTCTTTTTAACAAGTTCCGCTGGAGAATTGCAGGTGTTGTTTTCATTCCAAAATATGGCAGAAAATGCCAGTTAGTTGAAATATCGCCCTATCAGTCTTTTTTCATGTCTGGGGAAAGTGGCAGAATCGGTTATCCTCAAAAGATTACATAAATCGTTTCTGAAAAAGAAATAATTAACGATGATTAATTCGACTTCAAATAGAAACAATTTATAAGTCAGTAGTTTTTGAGGTTTTCTGAGCACGTAATTAAAGCGTTTTATGATAAAAAGTCAACAGTAGCCGTTTTACTTGATGTTGAAAAAGCGTTTAAAATGTATGGTATTACGGGTTGCTGTACCAGATGGTCAATTAGATATTTCTATTTCATTAAAAAGCTTATGCACGCGCTTCTTTATAATCGGAGGTTTATAGCCAAAATAGGCGAGGTGAAGTCAATTCATTAAAACAAGCTAACGGGACTCCGCAAGGGTTTTTATTGCCACCATTACTGTTCGTAATATATGTATTCCAATATATGTATATTCAAACTAGACACAGTTTCTATCGCTTAAATATGCTGGCGACATCCCCGTTTATTGCAGTTCCGTCACAACCTTTAGCAACCCGATGGATTTAAAATTATTTTATCATCCTTGCTTGGTTAAAAAAATAGAAAATGATATAAACCTGTTTAGAATTTAATCACCTTACAGCAAGGATATAAAATTTGAATAATTAAGGGTAACTATTTATTGTTTATTAGGTACCCTTTTTAAATCAAGTGCTTTGATATGTATATACATAGTAAAACACATGGTAGCCCATCCATTATTTTCTTCCGCTCTTTCTTCTTTTCTTTCTTTTTCGGTTTTTACCAGGTCTTTAGTGATTTAGTTATATGTTGCTTTAGAAGACCAGCGATATTATAAAGGTAAGAGGGTTAGAACAAAGACTAAACGACTAGAAAGCGTTTTAGTTGAAGTTAATAAATAACTTAATAGTCCATAGGCAACTAAGTAAATACTCATTAACTAGCTTTACTAAATATTTTAAATGGATTATAGAAATTAAATTTTAAGCAAAACCCATCAGATAGCAGTGCCTTACTTATCTCTAGGAGACAAAGAGCCCTAAACATTCGATAACTTACTTTATTTTGCTAAATTGTTCCTTGGAAGATTCATGATAACAAAGTTTAATTGGACGTCATAAAGAAATCCCGAATATTGCTAAGGTAAATTTGTAGTACCTCCTCTGACGGTCAAGTAGACTTTCACTACGTAACAAACTTTTTCTCTACACTGCGTGAATACGACCGGTACTGCTGTATGCCTCCAGCTTAGTCTTCCCCTTCGGCGGAACCTTAAAAGAGTACAAATATTCCAAAATAGCTGCTTGCGAATGATGGCTAGTGCACCTTATTTTTGAGCAAAAGTCAACTAGTAGAGGTTGTCAACAGGAGCCTATAGATGCCCTTATAATAGTACGCGTACTACAATCTCTTCGTGCATATAGCTAACGCACCAATAAATTCCTGATTGAAGCGCTTAAGTACGACCCCAGGTGCTATACTAACTACAAGTGATCGAAACATGTACTAGTCAAAAGCTTGTAAAAATATCTAGAAGCCCAGCCAGTATAACTGAACGACCAGATAAGTAAACTGCCTTACTGTCCATAGGATCTCACAGCGACTTTCTTTTTCCTCTCATGATGGTTAAGAAAAACCGTCCACCCTTTAATACGAAGGGAAGATAGGTCAAGGAGTTAGGGGTTTTGTGACCTCTCCTATAGAAATGTCAATTTTTTAAATAGAAAAATGACTATTAAATAATCCTACTGGGGAAGCAAGGAAGTACCCACGCCGTTAAAAGCCAGTGGCTGTATTGTTAAAAAAAGGTAGAGTTACAGTGTGATTATCTTTAAAGAAGGACAGGGTGTCCATTTTTTAAGAGTTATCCACTTTATAAAAGACCGTAAAAGGTAACTATAACTATTAGTGTTAGACGACCAAGTCTCGCTGGCATCTGCCATAAGTTTCCTTTATATAGATTGTACAATTCCTATTTTGCAAATAAAAAGCCCCACTAAAAGTCCCACTAAAAGTAATTATTTAGAAAAAAAAAAATTATCAGAAACTCTGAAGCAATCATCTTAGACATTATACGAATCAAACTTAAGTGTAATATGTTCTTACAGAATTACAAGCAGGTCCCCTTTTTGAAATGACATGTACATCTTGAACCTGCTAATTTATTTTCTTCTTATCTTCTTACGCTATTCATTTAATCCTTTCAGTCCTTTTATTAGTGGTAACATAATCAGCAAATTTTTTTTCCACAGAAAAAAAGTAATCTACATACCGCTACTGAAACACAAAAAATTTCCAAGGGGTAAACAGGTAAAAGTGGTTAGTAGGAAAATTAGTCGTGCAGCTCCACCTAACGTTATCGAAGTTGACTATTATTAGCTTGTGTAAAGTGTAAAACTAGAGTATACAATGGATTCGTAGGCATGTGCATTGCCTTTCATTGCAGTTTTCGTCTACACTTGCGCTCAGTCGTCATCTCGCATGGTTTTTAATAACTGCAAGCTGAGTGAATGAAAAGATAGTAAATCTCTATAACAAAAAGCTCGTTGCTTAGAAAGGTTAAGCATTAAATAGATATATATTTATAATTGACATTTTTGAAAAAACACAAATTAAAGACGATTAAACATGATGGGAAAGTAGTGAGAGAAGCATAATTAAGCAAAAAATTGGCCAAAAATTTAGTTTAATCACACTTCACAAATATTTAGGTCTGAGAAGTTGGAAATGTCAATATAGAATGTCGACTATAGAAGTGTAAATACTAATAGGGGCGACAAAACCAACGTGTTGATCTAAAGTGATGTTTTTAAATTCGTTTTCGACTGAATTAGAATATTAATCATATAGCGCAGTATTCCCTTAGTAGTAGCTGTTTAGAATTCCATCTTTAAGATAAAATTAGATAACCATTCCAGTCGTTCGCTTACAAGATTGGACCCCTAATCCTTAAATCTACACCTTTAGCCTCATAGGCAAAAGCATTGTTTATGCTCGATTGCCCTCTAGCTATCGGCCGGTTCCCAGCTATAGTTTCCTAGATTAAGCCCCACCCCTATCCACCCGAACTAGATTTTTAAAAAACAACTTCCACGCTTTATTAGATATAATAGCAATGGGTCTTCAGACAAGCTAAGAAAACCAAGGAAAGCGAGAGGGACTAAAACTCCTCTAAACTTAAATTTTTGGCTCCCCGGTAAGTCAAGCGCGAACCACTTACTCTAAGCCGTATGTATGCATATGCAAAAGGGCGCCAATAACTACCGTGAAAGACTAATAATGACTGCTCTAAAGGCTGAGTAGCAAAGGCTTATTTTCCGGGCTCCACCGGTCGACCTGAGGTAGCATAAAACCGGTAATAACTATCACCAGAAGAGGCGACCATGCAAGCCAAAAAAAAAAAGTGACAGTTAAAGCAATTAATTCAGAAGACTGTCGTGAAACCAACTTATCACCGAGTTAAACCCTCAATGTGAGCTGGATTTGAGCTTCATCACCATTAACAAAAAAAGTGGTTCATTATAGTAGGTAAAATAAAATCAGTTAATAGGAGAAATAAGAAAAAAGGTCACGAGGAGAGTAAGCCCCGTTTGGTTCCCTTGATAAACATTATTTACTCAAGGTGGTTGCATAACTTTGCTACGACGAAAAACGCAACTAAGAACGAGACAACTGGACCTATCCCTACTTTCACCCCAAGGGGTCATGGGTCAAGGTCTCGCCAAACTAGTTGCGCTCTACCCTTCAGAGCAGGCCATCTCTGGCGGTCGTCCGGGGACTTTCCCCCAAGAGAAAAGACAAAAAGGCATAGCTTCTTTCTAAACTCTCGGAAAGCAACCCTTCACCTGTGACCAAGGAGCAAAATCTAAGACAAGGGGGAACCCTCCAAAGAGGAAGTGTAGTTTAACTGACAAATAAAGGCCCCAGGGCCAAAAGATAGAAAGCGAAAGAAAAAAAAGGAGAGAGAGGAAGAGAGCTCAGAGAGAGGCGGAGGGAGGGGCGCGTTCTACTAGACTCGTATATATACATTATTAATTTGTAAAATTTTTTCGGGAACTTGCAAAACTATTTTGGACCTGTTAACAATTAATTGCTCTGAAAATAGTTAACTGGCCACTTAAAAAACACGAGATTTTTCTTATTCTGTAGTTCCTCTGTTTAGGCTTTTTTTTCACCTTTTGCTCTTGTGCAACCTTTGTAACGGAATAAAAAGATTTCTTTATTTAATTTTAAAAATACTAGCGTTATTGGTCTCATGTTTGCTTATTATTTTTTACTCAACCTTAATTGGTGGGTAAAATTAATTAGTTTTGATAGTACAATCTATAATTGGTGAGTACCACTTTTTCCTACTTGTATACTTCACCCTAATAGAAAGGTTACAGATATTTACTTTTTTTAAGGATTATATCACAATATATGTTCATACTGTTATTTTATGAAGGGATATATTTTTGACTTTGTTTTTAGCAAGTTAGCGCAGGTTTGGGGATATATAGAGCTGAGGCATTTTTATAACAATTGAGGTATAGTTAATGTTCTTCCTAATATAAGGTAAGCGTTTGATACTTAAATAAAGTAAGTTTGGATTCATTATTTTTTTTAAAGTGGGGCCCATATCATAGTTTTAACCCCTTTTATAGTATTTTATTTTTGAACCTAGTTTTTTAGTGGATCCGAATCTTTTTTTCTTGAAATATTTGTTTAAATTTCTATTAACTTTTCTTATTTTTGAATATTTCATATTTTTTTCGCTTAGACTTTTGTTGTTGTATGTATTGCGTTTTACAGCAGTAGACTTTACTATTTTAAGCATACTTTTAGTGAAACACTGCATAATTTTATTATATTGCTGTCTTTTAAATTTTTAGCTTTTTTTCTTGACCTTTACTCTTTATTTTTTTCTATCTTGGTTTTTATGTTAATTTTTTTTAAAAGTGATCTCTTCAGTTATTAATGTAAGAATAAATTTAGTTGTGTGTGTTTTTTTTTTAATCCAAGGTTTTCTTGGACTATATATCCAAGCAAAAATTGCTTTCTTTTATAAACATAAGCTGTCCCCCTCCCTTCCCCCTTTTTTTACCCCTTTGTATGCTTTTGCTTTCCTTTTAAGCCGGCAGTAAGTGCAAGTATAAGTATACTTCTTGTATTGAGCTTAATATGCGTTTATACTTAAGTGATATATAAGAACTTTTAGTTTTGTGTTTGTTGGGATGCGTGCCCACTGCCACCTCTTCCTCTGAGTCCTTTATTACTGACAAAATAATGACTGGTTAGGCTTCTGACTTTTACTTAAATAAAAACAGTATTTAGTGGTAATATCTAGATAGCCCGGAAACTATATATATAGCAGTCTTCGAAACACCCCTAAAAACTTTTTGATAATCTTTTTAAAAAGCTTTAAAGATTTTTTTAAGTTTGTGAACAAATTATTACAAGCTAGTGATAGAGTTCTCAAGTTTTTAAAAATTCTATTACTGCCGTATTGTAACATACAAACTTATCAATTCTTTTTCATTTCATTGTATATATTCCATCTATACTTTACATTTGTGTCTATACCTTATCTTAAGTGATATTTGAGGAACTTTGAAAAGGAACAAAGAGCCAATTTTTTTTTTTTACTTGAAATTACTTTAAATTGTACTTTATTTGTTAAGCTTAGTTAAAGCAGGGCTATTAAACATAGACATAATAAGTATGTTATACAAAGAAAAATAATTAAGTTTATTTTAAGAAATAACCTTAAATAAAATTTTTATAAAACATATAAATAGTTAGTTGCAACAAAAGGTAGTCGTTATCTATACGAGAATATTAGAGCAATCTCGTTTACGAGTAAAAAAAAACTTGGTTCTCAGTAATGAGACGAGGTAAAGCTATCTTTAACGTTATAGTCTGTAAACCTTTCTTGGAGAAAGAGGGTGAGAGAGTTATATTTGTTTAAGCTGAACAATTGTTTTAAAAAGGCTTCATTCGGGAAAAAATAGTGTACACGACAAAAGTGAAAAAATAAGTAACAAAAAAATGGTAACTGCTACTTTTCAGACAAGCGTTAATGGGTTGAACACGGCGGTAGGCAGAGAAGGCGAGCTAAGCGGTAAGAACTTCAAAAAAATAATAAAAAAATGTGTCACTTGTCATTTCATTGCGCCTTAAGCGAATTTTTTTTATGTCTGCTAAAAACAACGCCGTCTTCAAGTAGTTTAATTCTGCACAAAAGTTATTTGACTATAGACTTTTACAAAGTGATTTAAACTATTTTATGAAAGTTATTAAAGGAATATCTTAGGAAACCATTTAAACTAACTCAAGTTAGCTAAAGCTATATAAAGGAATAAAGCTACGAGTTATTGGGAAGCCGCTTCCTTTTTAAATAAAAAACAAAGTCTTTTAGGAAAAAAGAGTATAGCCATGTTTAAAAAACAGTAAACTTAAAACCATTGTAGCCTTTTTGACCACACACTCGATACAAACTTTTTTAACACTGCGGGCGTATTGCTTCAATTGTATTACCCCCTTTAAAAGTGCTTAGAAAACCAGGGTTAAGTCCCCCATTATTTTTTATTTCAATTACAAAGCTTTTTGGTACCCTAAGTTGCTTTAAATAATGTTAGAATCTGCTATAGGAAATGACAAGCACGAAATAACCTACAAAATTTACAACTTTTTTGCGTAACGGATAGTTACGACTGAAAGACTTGGAACTGTTTGACAACCATGGCTCTGCTCACTGTTTGCTGCTGAATTGATGGGGGTGTTAGTGAGACAGAGATACTAGCGATCGAAACTTTAAGTGATTCTCTGTGCTGTTAAGGCGGACATCTACTTTTTAGTGTGGTGGAAAGTAACGTAGCACAAAGGTTGAAGTGCTTAAAAACAAAAAAAAAGGTCAAAACTTGACAAAAATACGAAGACCCTTTATTATTAAGAATAAACAGATTCAGTTTTTGTTCTCGACAGACTTCATCTTAAAAACCGAGCATAAATTTTGCGCTATTGCTTAGTTTCTCTAAGGGTCCTACGGTCAGCATTGAATTAGCTAGTCATGATGAATTCTCAATTTTAAAGGCTTTTAAGTTATTTGTTTATTAATAAATGATAGTTCCTGGTCCCTGATCTATCAAAAAACTTATACTCGAGCTCTCAACCAGGGGTGGTCGCAGACATGTTACAAAATAGCTTTTAGTGGTAAAGATATCACTACTTGGCGTTTACATAAAAGCTGGCGCCAACACGCGTCACGGGGGCGGCGTAACAAATACCCCGTCCCACGGCGCTTTAAGGTTTACTCACCAGTAGGCGCTTGGTATGCCTGGCTAGTCTGTCGGAAGGGGCAATGACATTATATCAAAATTTGGTTAAAAATTGTATAAAAAGACATTAAATTAAGGATACTTTTACTGACCAACTTCGGTCTGTATTTGTACCTTTACAAAAGGTCGGAATATATGCTTCCGTATATGTATAGTAAATTTAATTGAACCAGATAAAGTTTTTCTTTGTTTAGTTCATACACAATTAATAAGGTAGGGTCAATTTATGTGTTGAAATATTAATTTCTTTTTACTGTATTTTTGTTGTTTGTTTCTCCGGTTTTCTGATTGGAATAAACACGGATCATTTTTCCTGTGAAAATTTTGAAGGTCAGTGTTTTGTGTTTTCTTTGTTTGCTGTTTGTATTTTTTGTGTTCATGTATATGTTTTATGATTGTGTACTTTATACTTAATGTATTATACAAAGTTTTTTGTAACTATGTTTATTTTTTGGTTTTTCTATTAGTGTTTTGTGTTTTCGTGCATCCCATATAGTGTTTTAAATTGTGTCTTAGATGTTGTGTATACTGTGTTCTTGTGTTACATTATACGTTGGAAGACGACACCTCGAGGGTTCAGCTGTAGGCCCAGGTGAAGAGCTCCATCACGCACAGCAAACTGTTTGTCGCGCTTGAAGTGCCGACGCTGTTGCAGTGGGGCCGTAGGTCCAAGCAGCAGACGCGTATTGTCATTATTGGTTGGGTGTAAGACATATACGTGCCGTTTTTTTTTCGCAGAAAAAGCTTTTACTCTTGCCGCATAGTAAAGGGAAAAGCGCCTTAATTGCTACCTTGAGCTTCGCCACCAGGTGGCCACGTGCGGCTGCTAGGAAAGTTTGTTGTCAATGAGGACTCCCAAGTATTTCGCTTGAGAATACCACTGAATCTTCACGCCATCAAAGGTTAAGAGTGCCAACGAGGGGACGCGTTGTTTAGTTATTAAAAGCGCTTTGCTCTTCATCGCAGTTATAGCAACTTTCCAATTACGGCTCCAGTCAGCAAGGGCATTAAGATAGCGCTGTAGGTGCTTGCATAGCAAGACGGAAGGCTTCGACTACGGTAAATGGCCGTATAACAGGCGTAGAATTTGGATTTAATGGCAAGGGAACGTCGCTTATTGAAATTGCAGATAAAAGGGGCGAAAGAAGGGATTCCTGGGGGACCCATGCTGACAGAGATCGCAGCAGTGACTGCGTACCTCCCACGCGCACGCTGAAGACGCGGCCATAGAGATATAACTTCAGCACGATGTAAAGGCCATAAGGAACGGATAACGAGCGCAGTTTGTGCAGTAGACCTTAATGCCAAAATTGATTAAGTGCTTTTTCAACGTCAAGGACAGCGCCTGTTGCCTTCTTAAAGTTAAAAAAAAAACCGCATTTGTGGTCCATTCAGTTAAGCGAAGGAGCTCCCGGGGTCGTTGAGTGCCCTTGCTGAAATCCAAGTTGACACTCCGGCGAGGCGTCTCCAGCGTCAACGACCTCTTTTAGACAGCACAGTAAAACGGCCTCACCCACTTTGCCGATCGCTGACAGGAGACTGAGGGGTCGGTACTGGCTAGTTGCTGATTCGAGTTTAAGTGTCTTTGGCAACACCACCACGGTCGCCGTCTTCCATCAGATCGGAAGGGCGCCAGGGAACATCGTAGATTTTACTAGGAGGTACAGACATCGCATCCCTGTTAATGGCAATTTCTATAGCAACTTATCAGTGATGCCAAGGGGCCAGGCGCTTTTCATTTGGGTAGCGCTTCGACAATCTCTTGAACCTCGTTAACATTAACCCTTAACGGGTAAAACTCTGAGACTTAAAAAATAGATTTGTTTTACGTTTACAGGTAACTAAAAATTTACCACTTTTTTAAGTTTTGTTGGTTGCTGCCTAATTCGTTAGAACATGGTACTCAAACTTACTAGAGATGGTTTCAGAGACAGAACCTATCGTTTGGGGTCAATTTCCATAGAACTACTCTTGAAAATGGAACCTAGGCGACATGTGGTAAACTTAGCAACCAGTAACCTATAAGGGGTTAACTAGCTAGTGGTTCGTGGACATCGGGAAGGGGTAAGCTCAGCTGAGGGTGCACATCATTGGCAGTTAAGTGGGCATCTGGCACGTTTTGGGTAGCAAGGAAATCAGCGAAAAATGTAGCTTTGTCTTCATCACTCTCCGGCACTATAATACCTTCACGGCGAGGCGGTAGTGGTGCAAGTCCCCGATATTTGATCTTTTTAACGAATTTTCAAAAGGAGGAAGGAGCGGCTGGTGTTGCCTGATTAGAATATATGGGTGCAGCTTGGTCTCCCACTTAATGTTAAAGTGGACCATTAACTTCTTGTGCACCTGCGCAGTCGATTAAGCGCAAGTTTGTCTTCGGCGCTTTGCGACAACATGGCCACTCGGATAAAACGTTGACGTTTGGCAGATAAATGCCTTTAGTTCGTCAGGTGGGGTGGTACGTTATTTCACTTATCGTGGAAGTAGTGCGAGCCATGTTCAGTGCGTTTTCGAATAAGGCGACTGCATTGTCCAGCAGGGCAGATGTATACGGTAGTGACGAACACGGCGGGAGAGTGGTTTATAAAAACTCAGCATGTTTGTCCCGGTTGGTAAAAGGACTGGTGATAGTCTTCGCTCGTCGCCTAACTCGAGAATAATTCGAAGGTGACCGGAGGACAGCTGGGGGAGCGCTTCAATTGCGGTTGTGAGAGGTATATCTTTTATTATGGCAATGTCCAGTACGTCTATGGTACCTCTCGTCGCCAAGTGTTTTTGGTTGTTGGGGCTAATCTGCACAGCCCGTGCTCATCAGCATAGACCTCATGGATGTGGTCATCCGAATTATCGGCTTGGCTGTTCCATAAAGGGTGCTTGCAATTGAGTTCTCCGCAATAACAGCAGAGGAGTCACTCGCAAAAATGGCCTCCAAAGGTACTAGCCTGTCATTCCTTAAAATAATTTTTTTTACTTATCATGAGTAAAAAAATTTAAAACAAATAGGCCACTCCCTTTTATTAGAAATGTAGCGAGTTTAAATACGCAATTTGCCGGGTCAATGCTCTATCGACTGTTGCGCGCGGCGGCAACACAATTACGGCCTGCCAATTAAAGTTGCTACCCCCCGTTTCCCCAGTTATTACAATTTTTCATACATTTATAAAGCTCCTGTCCTACTATAATCCTCAAATGCTGAAAAAAACTTCTTTATTACTAATTCTCATAAAATACGGTGAAGTCTACGTTTTACTTATTCGTTTTTTAAACGCATATAAAATATTGGTTCCATTTAGTATTTGGTTTAAGACTGGAAACCTTTAATCTATATATATCTCCATACTCAACTAAAGTTAATGGCGTTGTATTTTCTTTGGAGATAATTGTAAGTTCAAAGGTAAATAATGCTATTTTTATTTTTAAATGTCAACATTTTAAAGGACTGCTTACAATTGACTGTTTTTTTGACTTCGATCTTTAGTAGAATGCCAATCTCCTAGCTCTTGTTGATAATGAAATCTTGCCTATAGTCAGAGACGAAGAGTCGAATCGCTACCAGGTGAATTTTTATATTCGCGACAAATATAACTTATTTCAAATATAATTATAAAATAGGTTAGTTGGGTAAGAGCCCTCCCACAAGCCAAAGCAGGTGAAATTAAAATAAATTTTTTTGAGGCCTCTCTTTATAAAAGCTTAAACGAGGTTAGCATAAGCTCGTTTAGAATTTAGACCTTTTTACTTATATAACGTAGTATGTTCATGGGAGAGGATATTTACCAGAACTTCTTGCGCAGTATTCCTTTAAGTACAGAGGTGCGTCAACCCTTGAGCCTGCTATTCCACCTTCAACAGTGGCAATATTAATTTCCTCTTTTTCATTTTTTGTTGCCCGAAACATACGGAGAAATGCTATACTTCGAGTTACTAAATAATAAAAAAATGCTTTCTTAAGAATTAATTTGCTCCCTTTTCCTTTTTTATATCTATTTTAATTTGTAAGCCTTTTGAAGCGTCTTAAAAAATTTCATTATCTCTTATATTGCACTAAAAGTTAATCTACTTTTCTTTACATAAATATCATTCCTTTTTAAAAGTTCAGGTAACCAGTATTAGGAAGTTCCTGTCAGTAACTTGCCCTGTGATATCTTGAAAACTATAAGCTAGACCCTTAAATTTTTTTCAGGAGAGGTTTTTTTTTTACTATATTCCCTGATCTTAAGGTAAGACTAATGGGTTCATAAATATTAATGGGGATTGAATGAGCTTTTTAGTAAGAGAAGCGCCTATTTAACTAACCTGAAGTCGTATGTTAACTCAGTAAACAATCTTTTTAATATATTATAGAATACGTTTTATAAAACACAAGTTATTCGATATTATAAAGAAAGACTGGTTAACGAAGAGAACGAGTAAAATCCATGCCTATAAAGTAGCTTTTTTTTAAATAATAAGTTATATCAGACAGTTATATGTTAAAGTAGGAAGAAAATTTCAACCTAACCCCTAACTCTATCAGTTGATAACTTAAGTACCTTCTAAGTTAGTTTATAAGCTGTACACTCATCGAACGAATATTAAGAGGTGACACTTAATTTATTAACCAATATTGCAGGATTTCCCATTACAATTTTGAGGGCCTAAAATAAACGTATGGTAAAGAGGCTTTAATACAGCGAATAACCTGAGAAATTTGTTCATAATTCTCTTTATGTGCTTATAAAAAATTAAAAATTTTTTTTTCTAAGTTCATATTTTCATATTTTAAGTTATCTTCTAATTCTTTAGGGGATATTAAACTAATTATTTCGTAGCACCATAAGAGACTATAATAAAATAATTTTAAAATTAATTCAGAATTCTGAGGATGAGAAAAGGAGGGTGAGCAAACACTTTTAAGTGGTTTTTTATACTTCACAAATTCTACATTTCCGTTGTTATTTAGTAATTAATAGGATTGTTGGGGGGTCTATCAGATCAAGAAACACTAAGTTTCAGCTCTCGATCAGGTTGGTAATGAATTAAAAAAATCGAAGTAAACTTCTAATCGAACTTTAATTTCTCACGTGGTAACAGTACCAAGGCCCGTCGTCCCCTCTTGCCTACATAATGTTCTTTGTACGGCGTTAGCCAGAAGTCTTCGAATTATACCTCGTTTCGCATTAACCAAGGCGCGCTAGTCAGTAGTTTGTTCTTCCCTCTTAAAGCGAGGGCGGTATTTTCGAGAGACCCCTCAAATTTGGTCAGTACTTAGAGGTTCATGTAAACGTTTGAGATTTTTCTTTTCGTCGACCGTCTCGAGCAACATGGCACGCGGTCCGATGACTGTTAAAATAATTTCAATTGGTTAGTAGATGAATATATTTAAAATCGGCGATATCTAAAGCGTCTTAGATATCAATCTTCTCAATGTAACGTTGTGTACTGTGATCTAGAAAGCGCAGTTTGCGATCTATCATGCAGTTGATGTGTTCCCGCTTTAAACAGCTGAAGGGCTGTTTGCTAAAAGGCATCAAGGTTTGAGGTCTTGACAGGCTTGTTGGAAGGATTGTAAGCTGGAACCCCAGACACAGGTCATTATCCGGCCGAGCATAGGGAAACCCCGTTAGTACAGTTTTTGAATTTCGTTTGATGCTTCGCTTGGCCAGAATAGTTGGGTCGGTCTTAGTGATGTGTGAAACAGTTGCAAAAAATTAAACGAAACGCTAGGAAACAGCTGAGCCAAGCTAATAACCCAAAAGCAATTTTTCAATTTGATTTAACTCCTGCAGCATACTTCAGAGCGGTGAATCCCTATCTTAAGCATTCTTGAGAATTTATAGTTAATATTGCAAACAGTTGAGGTAAAAGTGGTTGCTGCCGTTGTTGGGCTCGATGAGGGTTTGTTTCACGCCCAGCTGGCGTGGATGGAGATCGCCAGAGTTACAGTAGAAAAGTAAATCATTTTAGAGGTGGTGATTCCGCTATTAAATCAGGCCTTGCAATACTCCCCGGGTAAAGTTTTTACCCTCGGTAGTTTGCTGTGTGTCTCGCCATAATTCAGATTTAACAGACAGATCTAAAGATAAAGTACACAGTGCTATAGGATGGCACCCCCCACGCTTTACGTGGAGGGAATTAGCAGTTTAAAACCTGGTGGTGATGGCACTGTCCTACATGGTTTTTCTTTGCATACCTTAATTCGAGCATACAAGAAAGAGACGGCCAATTTTAAAAACTTCTGATGGTTGCTTCTGTTTATATGTAATAACATTATTGGCTGTGGACCCTTTATGCGCTTTCCGATATGTGCGTCTTCTAGGGGCCTCGTGCTACACGCAGAGAATTATACATTGCAAAATGAGAGGCGTCCCCGGCGGTAGAGACCTGGGAGAGCGCAATAGCTTCCAGCTATAAAAAATTTAAATAGCTTTCTTGTAGTATGCTAGTAAAACGCTAAGTTCTTCCTTAAGACAGCTTTGTGAAGCTGCGGTATTTGTTTACCGTTTGCTATGATAGTTCAATTCCTCGACGCCTGTTTCTAGATCTGGGAAGCTTTGCGCATTTAGCTTGCATAATTGTTATGAAGCGGAGTCAATTTTGTTGTTCACAACAGACACACGAGTAGGTTGTTGCAGAGGATCGTTTGAAAGTGCTATTCGGCCTTTCTGAGAAAGTTTATATAATTTTTAAAAGCCTTTTTGGGGTCACGAGGCTGAGGTATAGTTTTTGGTTTAGGTTATATTGAATTTAATATTATGGCAAGTAAATTTTTCTTTGGTAGGAGTGACATATTTCAATATAATTGTTATTATATTTATTATTAAAATCATTTTTGAAACTATAATTACTAGTTTTGCTTTGCTTTGATCTTAATTTGTTACTTTCGTCTCTGTGGGTTCCCATTCCATTTAAGTTTTTAACGTTAAAACAGTATGTACATAAGACTTTTCGGACAGAGTTATAAATTATAATATTTCGCTTTAAATCAATCAGTTAGTCAATAATAACACATGATATTTTACCACTTGAAGGTACAACGTCATTTTGTGTTTCAATTTATTTTGACCAAAATTAATTATTTATAGACAAAATTTTTTTTACATTTTAACTTATCATCTACATAAAACTCTTTTGTTTGGGGGCTTCCCTGCTTTTATATCTTATTTTACTCGGTGACAAGGACTAAAAAGGTGAAATACTCCAAATGTTTTAGGTAGTTAGACCGGAGCTGGAAAAACCATTTTTTTATTAGGGACTTACATGACCACTACTCAGTCTTCACCATTAACATCACTTTATCACGAACTTGTTCCTCTGCTTGAATTTTTAAAAACATTCAGCGAAAGTAAAGACCTAAAATTTCTCTTTATTAATGACGATATCTCCTTCAAAAGGCTTTTAAGGTTAACTCTTGTCGCAAGAAATGATGGTATAATAAATGGAAATTTCCCTTTTTTATTGCTTGGTTATTAAAAAAAAATCTTTTAGATTCTCCTACACCTCCTATTATTACAAAATTAACAACTACTCCAGATCGGCTAAAAATTCCTCAGAAGGAGGTTTACCCCATGTTATTCATATATAAAATTTATTAAAAATATACAAAAAGCTTGTTCATCGAGCTATTGAGATTATTTTTGAAAAAAATCAGTTAACAAACATTCTGACTTTTGGTTACAGGAAGGTTGTAGTTCTTCTATCTTTAACACAACTACTTTTTCTTATACTTTCGCTAAGATGCACTCTTACTCTGATAACGGCGGAGTGAAAGACATCTTAGGGGTAGAGAGCATTTTTCCTAACACACTTGTGACGTTTCTGAAAACAAGAGAGTGGGAATTGCTGTTATCCCGGTGGCTAACTTTGTTATCTCGTAAAGTATTTAATTTTTTTTTAAGTATGGTTATTTTATTTAGTATTGGTGAAAATTTCATGTTTTATTTACTACTTCACACGTCTATGTTTCTTGAGCTTTCAAACGGATCTTTTATGCAAATTTGCGGTTTCTTAATTAATCTTTAACCTAAAAACCCCTCCTCTATCTCGTTTTATTATTTGCCTTTGTAAAAGGAGTTGCAGCCTATCATGCACTTTCTCATAAAACTTATACGGCACCACTAAAAGACAGTTAAGTGATATTTTTATATAAAGATTTTGCTCACATACTGCCTCTTCTTACAGATTTGAAACTGGAAAGAAGTGACGTTCTCACCACTTATACTTGTAATAAAAAGAAAAATAGTAGTAATATTAATAATAATTATAAACATAAAGTTAACAACATTGAGAGTAAGTATGCGCAGCCCACCGACACCATAACTATTTTTAATAGTAATAACGATAATAACAAGAAAGACAAACACGACAAACCATACAGAAAAAAAAAGAATCGGTTGGGCTCCGCACAGAGAAAAAAGCTTAGAAAGCGACGTAGGTCAAGTCTCTCTTCCTTCGAAGTTTTGCAACAATGTCCTTTCCACGTTGAGGACCAACCCTTCAAACGTACGGCCGACTGTCTTGCAAGCGATCTTCTTCCTGGTGATAACAAGTACTATAAGCTTTAATGGGGGGCCTGTGCCTATTCTTGTTAAGAGCTTTTCTTTTGCCAGAAGAAGAGCGGTACAAAGTAAGAGCAACGCGTGTGTGAGCAACAGTAAAACCACGAGGTAATGCTCTATTTGTACGGGTGGAAGCATATGGACCAGCTACCATCTCAGTTTGTGCGGAGAGTCTGTGCTGAATTGCCCCGTAAAGCGCACTCGCATCTTCTACTCACATTACAGGACAGTAACTCTCTCGAAGACCCGTACGCGCTCGCCATGCCATAAGCTCGTGACTGCTGTCCATTCTTCCCATAGACGCACTGCACGAGTCAATGGACAGGACGGGGACCGCTGACGGACTGATTACTGCAGTGTTTGGCTTCGGTAGTGTCTTGAAAGCGACGGGCTGCCATCGCATGCGGAGGCGTTATCGTTTGCTCCGCCCGCTTTTTCAGACGATTAAGCGGAATTTCCACGCCGCGCAAACGTCTCTTCTTTTCTCCCGAATCATCACCAGAACACGTCGACCCGATGTTGCTGCGCTAACCTGCCTTTCCTATTTTTGGCTAATACTGAACAAATAAAAAATCTAGTCGGCCGCCGCTTCAGCTGACTCTGTGTTCCCTCAAGAGGAGTTAAAATGGTTGCAGCTACCACCGTCGCCTGCTTATAACAGCGATAACGACAAGGAAGTTGGTCAGCGGGGTTCGTGTGACTTTCAGGAGGGCTTCCCCCCAGACGACAGCGGATTTCGTGAGGGTAACTACATGTCACGAGAAGTTCTTGCTTTTCATTTTATGTCACCATCTTCAGTTTATGTCAGCAAGGAAGAGCTACCAGAAACGGAAGTTTTGCGACTGGTTGGACAGTTTTCCTCGCATGCTGACGTTGTTTTCATTAGCTTTCCCATTTTGGTAATGCTTACTACCACTAGTAGGTGAGTAGATTTCTTTATCTAAGCATTATGCAAATTGTCCCGTTCCATGTGTTTGGCTGTGCGCATAATGCTAAACGATTATTTCAAGGTTCATATTGACCACTTAGAGGTTAATGGGGCTTACTGCTCTTGTTTGAGTAGAAATCAGCCGCTTTGTTTCTTTCCGCCGACACGAAAAGTACCACGTGAGCAGCCTTCTTAAAGGGTTTCGGGTTTGTATCTTCACTTGTGCGCTGTATTTTACTTGGTGGCTATCTTTAGCTTTTAGTTGTCTGAAGCGAAGTGGCTGAAAATAAATCCGGCGGCTTCGGGGGGCAGCCCTTTGGAACTGCAACTCAGGAAGGAACTCTGCACCAAGTTTTTTTCCTGGCTCTTCGAATCTCTTGTAATCCCACTTATTCAGGTTCTTCTATTGGTTTGTGGTCTTTTCAGCACTCTTCAGTGGACCCCTTAGTGCTATTTTTACGTTACCGAGCATGCCGGCTTCAAGTGGAGGACTGTTTACTACCCAAAACACGTGTGGAACCGTCTCCATGAACTCGAGCTGAGCAGGTTGAAGGCCACGACTCTCTGCCAACTGGATGCGGTCGTGTTGTGCCTTCATTAGTGTGTTTCCTGCCATTATCGTTGACCCTCAGAGGGCGCTGAGCATGCAGTCCAACAACTCGGTTTCCTGCTCGTATCTCCGCTTCATGCCCAAGCCCAACGGCGTGCGCACCATCGTCAATATGTCTCGAACTGTCTCTCTAGTGCAGAGTATTTTTTATTATTCCGTTAAGCTCTGTTTTCGTTGGCAGAAGCCCCTCCGGCCAGAAGAGATCCGCAGGAAAATGTTTTCCATCAACAGCCAACTTTCCAATGCGTTTCATATTCTACGCCACGAAAAGGCACATGGCTTCTACCCGCAATGCTTGGTTTTGTTCATAAGTATACTGAAGGCAAAATCGGGGAGGTCTGCCACGCTGTTCAAGCTGGACGACATACATTGTAGAATCTACCGATTTGCGCGGCAGTGGCAGACTTGTGATAGAAAACTGTGTCAAAGTTTTTCGAGTATTCTGGCGGCCCTTGAGCTCAACCTGAGGGTTTTAGGCCTCTCTACTTTGTTTCTGTGGACATCCGGACAGCCTTTGACTGCATTCCTCACGACAAGCTGCTTACTCTCGTGCGAAATTTACTTCGAGAGGTTCTAGCGGTTTTCTCTGTTCACGTTGTCGTCATTGTGGAATCTTTGCGTGCCCAGAATGACTACATGATCCGAAAGTACGCAGTGCTTACCCGCTGTAACGGCTTTATTAGAAGAGATTTCAAAAAGACCGTTTTTTGCCCAAGTAAACACTTTTGCTTGCCTCCTTGGCTAAGGTGAGTAACACACCCGCTTGTAGACGAGATCACTACGTTTACCGAATTTTCCAAGAGTTTATCTTTACATGTGAAAAAGGCTGTCTTGATCGACCAGGCAATTTTTACGTCGCCAGTTGCAGATGTACTGCTACAAATTTGTTATTCTAGGTGGCCTTTCTCCTGCAACAGCGGGGAGAAGTACTACGTTTAGTTGGCAAACACGTGAAAGAAAATGTCATGAAAGTAGGCAGAACCTGTGATTCTCGGTCCACCAAGTAATTGGTGCGCCCCCTTATAGATCCGCCACGAGTTTTACTTGCAAAAAGTTGGCGTTGCTCAGGGCTCTGTGCTGTCGACCCTCTTCTGCAGGTTTTTATTTGGGTCTTTTTTACTCTTTTCTAGTTGAGTTATTCATCCAAGTTTATTTTTGGACGAGTTTGAGAAGTCGCGTGGAATACATGTGCCCGAACGGAAGGGGGTCGTGCGCTTTATTATGTTTTCTTGGGAGGGCTAACTGCGTGTAGGTTCTCGTGCGCTACGTGGACGACTATTTGCTGATCACCTCGGAGCGAGCTCTTGCCAACGATTTCCTTATCAAAATGCATCGAGGTGTTTCCTCTGCAACATTCATTCTTTTATCATCACTTCTAGCCGTTGTAGAAGTTCCGGGAGACGAAGTGAAACTGAACACTGAGAAAACTTTGGTGCTCCGCGTGCTCCTTTTCTATATTTTATATCCGCCAACTGTTGCTTCACTCTTGCAGGTGAATTTTGACGCCTCCCTAAACGGCCGAACTCTCAACCACAGCCGAATTGAGCACGGAGGTTGCCACCTCCACTCTTTTCTCTTTTCTTGCAGCTAAGCGAGTGTTTGTAGACTTCTTTCCTTGGTGCGGCTACTTATTCTGTACGAAAACACTGAATGTTATTCGTGATTTCAAAAAATTGAGTTCGTGTAATTCCTTCAAAACATTGCCACACGTGCAGTTTCCACGCTGACATTCGCTAGGCGTGGCTGACAACATGAATATAAGCCTCTACAACTTTCCAGGGTTACGCATGCAGCAAAAACTTTTACTGTATAGCTTCTTGTTTGGCTCTCGTGAGTTGTGCAAAAAGCCAAACTCTGATTATACCTCACAAGCTTTCTTGGGCGGAAGTGCAGCTCACTAGTGCTGGACTGCTCTCTCAACTCCATTCAGATTGTTCTTCTCAACGTCTACCAGATCTTTCTGTATGTGGCCTGCCAGCTCTGCGTGTACGCCTCCCGCCTGGACTTTATTAACGTCTCCCACCTTCAGAGTCCCACGCACTACTTTCGTATCACCGCGCTTTTTTTTAATGGTCTCTCCTACCAGAAACGAGCCGAACGATCATTGCTTCACTGGCACATGTGGCCAAAGCTCGAATTTCTAGCGCTCGAGCCGGTACGGGATCCTCGCGGTTCCTGCTGAAGAGGGCGAGCGTGATTTGGTGAGCGGTTGGCCCTTCTGGTATGTTTTGCAGTCTGCCAGTCGCATCGCTCACAGGCTGGGAAACCACGCGTTCCACAGAATATTAAAACGCAAGCACGCGCAGTTTCGGGCGGTCAACCCTTCCTATCTCACTCTCATCCATTTTTTAAAATTGCTCTAATCTACAGATTTTGATCTCTTTTAAGCGAAATTTGAAACGTTTGGAACGGTTGGTCGACGTTGGGCTGCTGGCTGCTGTGACAGAGTCTAAATTAAATAATGTTTTCAAGAACATTAACTTGAACTGGTGAGATTGACCTGCTGCAAACTGCTTATGAATACAATATTTTCTACTTAGTAATAAAAAGGCCGAAACCCTAAAGTTTTTCTATCGTGGAGGCTAATTTATTAAATAGTAAGTGAGCGAAGTATTAGAGAGTAGTGGTTTTCAAAGCACTGTACTATCGGCAGAGTAAGCGCATAAAATTTGTCAATAGAAAAAATCTGATAGATACCAAATTTATTCAACACTTTGACCAGCCATTTCTTCTTTTTGATAAACTTGAAACACTTTCGTTCGCTTAAGTTTTTTAAGGGTTTCGCTATTAATATATAAGAATTTAAAGTTTTTTTCACCTTAGCAAATATACAGAGATTACATCTTTTCTAGAAGTTCTCTTCGTTTAGCCTCTAAAAGAAGCTTTTGTTGCTTTAAACTATGTTCTCCGCCTTCCAAAGCTTGCAAAAAGTTGTTGCTAGTTTCAAAGCGGTTTTTTAAAGTTAATATTTTGGTCTCAATCTATAAAATTAAAGATTGAAGGTCAGTGATTCAAAAGAATAGTTTCACTTTTTTATATCATATTAATTTACAAATAGCAAAAAATGCTATAATATTTTACTCCTTGAAAGCTATAAACTTAAACTTAATCTGTAATACTTTCTAGCGGGAAAATAATCACGGATAGCTATGAATATATTTGCCCACACAAATAAATAATTGTTACTTTTAGTTAACTGAACAAATTGTTAAGTTACTAAACATTGACCAGTTTCGGGGAGGTAGATGTAGAGTTAAAGTGCTGAATTATATCCTTTATTTCGGAAATAAAATCAAAAACTTCTAACTCGGGGCCTAAAGCCAATTTCTTAGTCTCGTCAGTGCGAATGCCTTCAGTTGAAGCCATGCTTTCATAAGATTCTACAGGTGACTCAGTAAACAGTGTTTTTGTACTCTAATTTGTGTTTTGTAGCTAGTATTAATATGCTAATTTGACATAAAACTGTGTAGAGGGAGCGAGGGGCTAGCGTTAACCTTTATTTAGTAATTTACTCCCTCCTTGGAGTGGGTGGGAAATCTAATAGACTTAAAAACGCTAATTTAATATTTTTTTATAAAATTAAGGTGAACCAGTACCTTTTAATTCTTATAGGCCCTAAACTTCGTTCCGCTTAGCAATAAATATAAGTCGAATTCAAGCCTTATATTAATTTTTTTCGTAATGCTCCCAAGGCAGCACCTGTGAGCAGGCACATTGTCGCAAATATACACGCATATAACTATTTGCACTTTTGTGGTTCTTTCATCTAAAAATTTACATTCCCGTTATTATTAGCATAACTGACGTATTAAGAAGTCGGTTAAGAACTGATAGTTAGTTAGAGACTTGCCGTTTTTGGATGTAGCTTGTGAACCTCAATTTTTACTTGGGATATTTCATATATAGTTAATATAATTTCTCTTTTAATTAAATTATTTTTATAATTACATACACTTAAACTCAATGCTTAACTTCAGTTTGTTCAACTCAACACACTTAAAAAGGTAGTCTTATAGAATATATTGTCAGACTATATATTTAGCTTCTTTTAATTTTTTTAAAAATTTATGTAATATTTATTATTTTTATATAAAAGTAACGAATGTTTCCAACGCGACACATGGCAGTTCTTATCTAAGAAAAATTGTGGGAACCACCATTGACAAAGCTCGCTATTAACGTATATACTAAGGTTATGAGAAAAGTATATGCTAAGTAATTAATTATCTTCGTTACTTTAACAATAAAAACACGCAACTGTTACTTTTACAGTTACTATAACAGTAATTGAATTTAAAGACTAGAGGCCAGAGCCATTAACGTAGCCAGCAGTTGATTAATACCTAATCTTCGATATCACAATTCTAGAATCATTGAAGGTTAGCGGAGCCGGTGGTGCAATTCCTTCTTTTGTCGTGATAAGAACCCAATTGCCCTTCTCCGTGTTAGTGGCACAATTAGCAGGCAAATTAAAATCGCACTGAAGGTGGCAACGCAGTGGTTCGGTTATGTTCTGTAAGGCTGTGCGCACTGGGCATGAAGCGGAAAAGGCGATAAGTGTTGGGACTCTATGCCTTATTAAACGTTTCCCTCTCCTTTTAAGGTGGATGTCTATTTGTCACGTGAAGGCAAATTTTATGAGGAAAGCACTTTGTGGATAAGTAGTTTTCAAGGACAGAAGAAGCAAACTTTCAGCATCTGTTAACTTCGGAGCAGAGTGGTAGTTTGGCGTTGTCATTCCTTTTTAAGTGTATCCTGGGATTAGAGGGACCTTTGGGTGACTTAAGCCTCCCCTTCCTTAATTTTTTGGTGCGCCACCAGCCCCGTACCGTTCTAAAAAGTTAGACCATAATTTTGGTTGTCTTTACTTCTTTACCTGATTAGTGTCTTATGTTAACTAAAACTGCTTTTATTCTTCTTAAAAATTCATATCGCGGCGTTTTAAGAGCATGTTATGTTCCTTTTGGAAACGATAAGGATGCCCTACTGCGTAATTATTTGGAGTTTTCTCTCAGCTATCTGCTTGAGCATAGATTTCTTCTGTATTCTACTTTTTAGTTTCTAGAAAATATTTTAGGAATTTGTTTATGAAGTATATTATTTTGGACGATGCCAATAAATTCGCGGAGGTATTTAACTTATTCTAACACTTATTTGAATAGTTTAATTTTTATTTTACAAGTTTGTAAAAGTTGCAAAAGATATCGAGTTTTTTTTAAGAAAATGCGTTATTCAGGCTGAGCTGATTGATAAAAAGGATCATCGTTACAGTAAACTTTTAAAATAATTTTTTTGTAGCTTTTTTTATTTCGTTAGTTCCCTTGACTTAAATTGCTTCTGAATTTTATATATATAATGTTTCTAGTTTCTTGTGTGCTTTTTGCATTTGCAGCTTGTTCCATCATATAACTGTATTATTATAATAAGGGCTACATATAAGGAAAGACGCATATTCACCTAAACACAGGAACCCAGCTTCTGCTTCGCTTGCACACTGCGTTAGTCCCCAGTGTTGTCAGCAGAGTTCCCGCGCTCATTGATCAGCTATAATCGTTGGTCGACTTTTTATTATACTAAAATGTTTTCCTTTTTTTAATTTGTTTACCTTAATTTAAAATATTTTATTATTTTTTGTATCGGCATATAAACTAACATTAGAGAAAATAAGTGACAGTCTTCTACACTTAGAAAATCCGTTACTAATTAAAATACCTTCCTAGTTGCGATTATTTTTTATTAACTGCATGGGCGTTTTTATTTTAATATCAAAATGTAAAGACTATAGGATTTATTTTTTATTTTTTAAGGTTTTCTTTTTTTTTGTTTTTGTTTTCGTATAGGCTTGTTACATACGAAGATAACCTGTATTAACTAAGGTTTAAGTATATTTAAATAACTTGAGTTATGAAAAGCCTTAATAGTTCGTTGTATATATTAAAAATGTCTTAGAGCAATACTTTTTCGCGTATTGCTTGTGGCAGGAACCACCGCAACGAATATATCAAGTTTGGAAAGCGGTTTTAATAAAATGTGTGTTATTATAACAGTTAAATCTTAGAGTATTCTTAAACCTTGGGTAGTTAAAATATTTTTCAAGGGTAGCTATTTCCTCCTCAATCGAATCTTACAACGAAAACTAGCACAAATTAATTAAAATTTTAATTAGGCCTTCCAAAGGCCTTACACTCGACGAGCTAGATAAGCACAACGACCTATCTAACCTGTACATTCCGTAAGGATTTTTAGCATCGCTTAATTTTTAAATCTTGGATCTGAACTTACTAAAAATTAAAACTTTATTTTACAAAACATCTTTTTCCGTACCAGTTTATATTAATTAAAAGTGTTTAGTTTGATAATTTCATATTTAATAACAGTAGCAGTTTTATTATATTGCACGCCAGTTTACTATAATATGTGGTTTCTTTTTTAATTACATTGAACAAGTTGATTTTACTTAATGACCCACCGATATATTAGGACATTTACTATTACTTAACCCTACTAATTTATCCTTATAATAACTTTTAAACAAAGTTTTAACTACTGCTCTTAACAATCTAAGTTACTGATAACATAAAGAAAAATGAACCTCTGTTTAAGGCAAGGGAGTTTAAATCATGGGGTTTAAATCATGTCTTCTGAATCATGATAAGAGTACTTTTGTTTTTTTTATAAACTATGTTACTCAAATAAGTATTTTTTTTTAAAACATATGCGCTGCTAAAACCGCCGAAGTGTTTCTTTACTACGAAGTACTTTTTATGGCGACACCGCTATCAACATGTATATAAAAGTTGAACCATTGGTTGAGTACAAATGTGCAAGTTACAAGCGCTAAATTAAGTGACGTAATGCATACCAGTCCGCGCAAGGATAAAAAAAGACCGCAACTGTAGTTTTCTGGGGGTTATACTTAATCTACAGGATTTGTGTACAGCTTTATCTTTTGCTGTGCAACAAAGTTACTTCCACGCTATAAAAGAAACTAAAGGGACGCGTTTTCTCTCCTAAAATTAACTGTTGCCCTATTGCGGAATGGAAGGAGCTCTTTTTATTCTGCCACCGAACAGACAAAAAAAATTCATGTTTTGTAGATTATTTTACAGATAGAGTACTAAAGCCGTTACAAAAATGGTTATTAGCACCACAATAAAGTTTGTAAAAAAATGTTCAAGTTGACAATCTTTTACTAATTTTATAAAAAAAGATAACTTTTAATCTTGGTTATGATAGTTATAATTTATAGCTTTTTACATATTATAAGTACTAATTCAGCTGCCATTGAACTTTAGCACTATTAAAAGTTATTTAAAATATTAATTTGGTGAATTATCTGATTCTGCGTATATAACAACATGCTGGCAGGGCCATCTATTAGGGAACGTTTCCTTAATTCAATTGATATTAAACTGGCCTTAATAACTCGAGGGGTTTATGATCTCTTTTTACTACATGAAAATATTGGAGAACCAAGTCGCTTCGTATGAAAAATTTAAGAGGGTGGCACTTGATTTACAAATTCTAAGGAATAGCCTAAACGAAGACCTAAAACTATGATAGGGAAAATGAAAGTAACAGAACTGGAACGAGTAATAACATCCCGCTTATGGCAGAAAGTCACTACGAATTTTGTAATACCATAGCAGCGAGAGGAAACCATTAAACTTTTAGCCAATCGCTTATAATACATTTAAAAAAATCCGAAAAAAGAACAAAGCACCGTGGGAAAACCAACACTTCCAAAAAGAAATGACTTATTTATATATTATGATAACTCTTCGCATCGATTGAGATGAATTCAAATGTTATTTTTTAGAACACTATTACTTTAAGAATCTTAATTCTCTCGATTATAGATACCTTTGCTCTTCTTCAAGCGGAAATAGATGCAATATAGAGAACGGTCTAATATTACACCTTAATATTGTTAGCAAAGCTTACAGGGGACACACCCTTATACCACTAGCAAAAAACCGATACTATCTTATACAAGGGTTGCAATGGGTCACACTTAAGATCTGTGTCCTCATCCTGAAGAAACCTGTGCATTTTGCGGAAGAGTAGGCCGCGTTGAGAAGATTTGCCTACGTAAGTTATTAAAAAATAACCTTACTAAGAAATACAAGCAAGGTCGTTCCCCCAGACAAGGAAGAAGTATCGATACGAGCGCTTTTCCTCATTTTTTAACAAAGAACTCTTGAATGAGGTTAAAGTTTGAGAAAATGTAATTAGCTCAATAAATGGCCCATTCTGTAGCGTATAAAGTTGGCTATTAAAATTGTTTTCATTATAAGCCGTCTTCGATACTAAGTTTAAACATAACCTCCATTCTGTAGGTAAATAATGAAAAGGATTTTAAATGTTTTTTCTTCAACAATAATAAGGTACACAGTAATATAAAACAACATATATTGCCCAAGAGACGTAAAGAGATGGGTTTTTAAATCTAGAATTTGATGGCTATAATGACACTTACACTATGGCTGCTACAGCTATTCAAAAGAAACCCAATGTAGACCCTAAGGAATAATACAATTATGGACACATCAGCTATCACCCTCTTAAGAAATCAGCCCAAATATCTTGTACTTAAAAATGAAGATTGTGACAAAATTTAAAAAGATATTATCCTTAAAATAGAAAAACTAAAACACCCCAACAGCGCATAATTCTTTAACCTTCAAAGAAACTATGATTTAAACCAACAGAGAACGATACATAATAGCAGCTACGAACGAACTGGAACATTTTATGAAGCCTGTCGACTTTAAAATAATTGACATTAAATACAATACCTGATAAAAAAATTATAACGACCAATTAAAGACTACACAATAAACTAGACTCACAGCCAGAGGATTTTAGCAAAAATAATAACATTGACTATCAAGAATTTTTTTATCTTGTTCTCTCAAAGTCCTCTTTCAGATTACTTCTTTCTATATAAAATATTCGGTTTATACTAACCCACACTGCTGAATTAACAACAGTCTTTAATATACATAGAAAGCTACAAAAACTGGTTTATGTGCACATACAGCAATGTATGTACCTAGTATTGGACAAATTAGACTGCACATATAAAATAATTTCTTCAGAATATAATAATAAGAACAAGTTTAGTTTTACAAGTTATTGTTGCTCTTCACGGAAGAAAGCTGCAAGACTCTTTAAAAGGGCTTTCCTTGGGATAAAAAAAGGCGGCTAATGTCAAAACAAAACTGACGAGTTTATTTTTTACTCGAGTAACTATCCTACTAATTATGGTCATGACTCGGCCGCATCACACTTTCAAAAATTTTTAAAATGGACGGTATATATTAAAGAACCTATCAAAATTAACAGAATTTTGAATTCAACATAGAATTCCATTACTTTATTCTCATAAAGTAAACCTTTGACATCGGTCAACTTATACAGAAATACCACCTGACCCTATAACTTATTTTAATATCTCTATACCAGCTAACACCAAAACTTTAGCCTCCTGAAAGAAAGCGCCAACATATACAATAGTTTAGTAGGTCCCTACGTTATACTGCTAACAGCACCATACTTGACATCTTCCATGTGGCTTTTTATGCTAAGGGAAGTTTACATTATAACATTTTTTAAAAACAGTTAAAACTCGCTATGAAACTACCTTAATCACACGGTAAGTCTCTTATTTTAATAAAACACAAGTTGGCAGATAACATAATACTAATTGTAAACTACTGTGACTCTTCGAGGACAACTAATACAACTAAGAAACACAATGGGCTACATAATGAACTTCAATATAGACAAATTCAAGGCAAACAAGTTAATTTGTGAGGCAGAGTACGTGCATTGAGCAAGGCTGTATCTAAACAAATTATTATAGCATATACTCAGTGAGATTACCCCGAACCCTGGGTTAAGATAAGATTTTACCAGACAATGAAGCTGTGAAAGATATAGCAAAAGAAGTGTCTTACGAGAAGAATGTTTATATTGACAATGCATACAATTATGCCAAAGAAATACCGGACGGAAAATTTTTCTTTCGAACATGTGATAGACTTAATTAGGAAATCTGAGCTCCTATTATAAATGTTTCCATAGATATCTCATAGTTATCAAATTATAATGGGGCTATAACAAGTTACAATTTTGCTATTTTTACCTTTATTTTAATTAATAATAGTCCCGAAAATTTCAACCTTAAAAATTGAGGAAATAGAAATTCTTAAAAAAAGAAAGTATATGTAACCGACTCCAGAAAAATAATGAAGACTCACGACTTCCTTTTTTCTCGTCTGTTTTTTGTTTTTTTTTATAATTTCACCGCTAGAATACAATTAGCGTGTTCACTTATCCCTTAGTGAAGGGCGAAGTATTGCTTTATAAGATTGTGGCCAGTGAACTCAACCTGTAGTCAGCCGCGGTGTAGCGCACCATTGCTCAAACAACCGCGAAATCGACCCAATGCGCAAAGAATGAGTTATGTGCGCTCTAGAATATAATTTTGGATAATGACATATTATAGTTGGCTACGATATTTTTAGTTACTAATAGTTAAAAAGAAGATTAAAGCTTACGCTGACTCGTTTTTTATAAAAAAAAATACGCTCCTACGTTTAAAATTTAATCGTATTCGTATATTACTTTATCAGTATTATATATTAAACTAGTAAAAATTAAAGCTTCTTGTGTTTTACAAAAGTTATACGTACAAAAGCTTACTTCATCAAATAGTAGGTAAGTATTCCTTTAATATTAACAGCGAAACAGGTAAAAAAATAGTATCTAACCGAAGAGCTACAACTTTAACTATTAATACAGTATAATAATTTACACATTTAATCTTTTGCGCCCCCACGCCAAAAATCTTAGCCAGAATCTTTACGTCGAAATTTGGCGTTCAGTCTTTAGCATAGTGTAATGTTTAACCTATCATAGTTTATAGTTGTGCGTACGTGCTTGCAAGGGGAAGGAGAGGGAGAAAAAATACGCAAGCATCCAAAAGCCAAAAAGAAATTGCGTTGGTAAAAAGCTTTAATTTACCCTTCGATGTTCTTTACCGCTGAGCTACGACGGCAACTTCTCAATTCCGATACGATGGTTTACGTAGTTAACCATACATTGCCGCTAGCAGGCAATTTATTGTCAACTTTTTAAAACACCGAAACGAAACCGAAATTTTGGTGTAAACAGATACAAACAGGGCATCATTAACCTTCTTTTGGCTGCAAACTATTTAATGAAGAATAACACACGCTTTTGTAAAGTTATGACGAATTGAAGCCATCAACAATTGCGGTATTTGGTAATAACAAATCACTTGGTTTCAACCTAAAAACTAATTTGTGGACCGACAATTCTCGTGTTTAGATTAGCGCGTTTAAATCCTACCTGCCCAGCAGGATGCCCCTTTGTGTTTCATGCTACACAGACTGGGTTTTTTTGCTGGTGTTACGTTCAATGGTTTGAAGTAGTAGAACTATTAAAACGTATGAACTTATGTGTTGACCCCTTTTTATAATGCAAGATAGTTACAGTAGCGGTATAAAAAGTAACCAGTCAGCACCATCAATTTGTTATACAGGTATAAATTACCGCAATTATTTTAGCAGTTAAAAAAACAGTTACGCTTATGTATTTACAAGTTTTTTATCGCTTATTGAAAATAACATCTAAGTATGATCTGCTTTTACTTCTTGTTCTTGAGACACAAATTCAAAGGCAAACGCACTTAATTTATTTCATCTATTTTCATGATTTATAGAACTCTCTCTGCTAACAGGAACGTTATTATGTAGAATACATTCAGCGTGGGGGTTTGACCTTAAAGCTTGTATATTTCTTGTTATATATATATATATATATATGCATATTAAAATTAATATATTAAATGTGTTTATTAAAACTTAGCATCTTCTAAAGCTTTTGTATCTTTTTTGGTTGATTCCGGCTCGAAGTTCGTGGAAATTAAGCGTTCGGAGAGTGTTACATATACCGAATCTTTGAGTGTATTATAGAGTTTACAAATTTTTGAGTCGAATTAAATCTATTTATAAGTGGAAGCAAGTATATACCCTTAATTTGGAAAGGAACTCCATGCTTAAAATACAAATATCTGCAAAACAGCAGTTTTCAAAGTTCTTAATAATTTCGTTTTTCACCATCTCGCTTCTTCTATATATTCTATATAAAACTAGGAAAAAAATTTGTGGAACTGGGGCCTTAGCCTTGAATATTTTGACGGAAAATTTAAGTAACGCTGAAGTACTTTACCGACTAAATCTTACTCATCTCTTACTTATCTGTTTTCCCTTTTAGGAAGTCAAGTTACATCTCTATCCTTTGGGCTTTTGTAAAGTTATCTTTCAATTTAAAGGGTAGGTTATTAGGTTTTTTGGAAGATTCGGTGAGACATTCTTTATTATTTTAGTATTAAAGAGAAGGTTAGCGACGACTTTATTCCTCCCCCTTTATTAATTCCTTACTTTGGGCAATCCATTCGCAGCATCTGCTGTCGTGAAGGTTGTTTTTTAAAATTACCAACTTTTGTGGCTTTACCTTTCTGTAGGTTCGGCTTTACCGGGGATCATCTTTGCCTGCATTTCCCAAATCGAAAAGCGGCGTTATGGGCTTAAAGAAGAAGTAAGTCGTGTGAATTGCGGCTGTAGATAAGCGTGCCTTATCTTTTCTTTTGTCTGCACTGGCAAAACTTTTTAGGGGCTTTACAGAGTTTCTGGCTCGCAGTCTGCATACCAGGAGTTGAAGTTATGCTATGATACGGGCTCACCGGTCGATTTTGAGGACGCCTGCGTCCATGACTTAACAGGTGCCTTCTCTTCATAATTACACTGCTTACAAAATAACGTTATTGTCACAGGCCTGCTAAAAATGTATCTGAGAGAGTTACCGGAGCCGCTGATAACACACGCGCTCCACTCATCCTTTATGGGCGCCGTGACTGGTACTTTGCCGTCTACCTAAAAGGGCCGCTAAAATGAGAGTTCATGACTTTCCAGATAAACCGGACGTAGAAAGTTTCAAAAAGTTGCTTATGAAACTTCCTGACGTCAATCGGAACTCGCTAATGTGTTTCACTGTTCTTTAGCAACTTCGCTATTACCGACTTCTCTGCTCTCCAGTTACATTTTTGACCACCTCCACTCTGTGCTAAGCTATTCCAAGGATAACAAAATGACTATTTTCAATCTCAGCGTCTGCATAGGTTGGCAGGTTTTGTGTCGTAGTCACTTTAAGACCAATCCATTCAGCAGCTCCCTCGCTCATGAAGTACAGGGGCTCGCGTGCTGATGCTTCCATGGGTCTGCAGAGCGAGAGCAGTACCCATAAATAGATTCGCTTTAACTTAGTGCTGTACTAGCTGCTCATCTCCGCTGCAGGCGTTGTTCAACTTCTTCTGGCTTGGTGGCCCATTGAAGGCTTCGAAATGACACCTCGTGTTAGACACACTAAAAGGTAAAGCGCATGCTTTGAATCTTATTTCTGCAAGGCTCGTTAATAACTCTCTTTTTGTCAACAGTGTTAAATATCCCCTTGAACTATCCGCGCCTTGCATGCCTCTAGTGAAGGTCCTTTTCTATCAACTTGGAGGCTTACCTCTTTGCTCACACGATACGCTCTTCTTACACATCAGTCAAAGTCCAGCCCTTCGGAGTTGGCTTATGGGAAATATAAAGTTACTCCGAAGGTCTTGGTTGCACAGGCTTCGGACGCTGCTCTTCGTTTCCTTAATAAGTTTTCTCCTGCCTTCAAACTGAAGTCTCAGAACAAAAAGAAAGAAGCCAGTGGCTCTTACTCGCCTACCTCGACCAATAAAGAGAGAAATGAGACCACATTATATAACACAGATCTCATTGATAACGTTTGACCGACTTGAATGAAGTATAAAATTTAATAAATAGTGTCAGTATATTAGAATATCTTGTACTTTCCAGCTTACAGTAGGAAACTCTTACAATTTGGTTTTCTTACGCTTACAAGTTGCGCTTTCCTCCCTATCTTACGTTTAAAAACCACTAATTGGTTAAATAACAAACCATCAATCCTAAAAATTATTGCACGGAGATTTTGGATACTAATTCGCCTAATTTTGCTATCTACTAACGAATAGTTTTGTGGTTTGTTTTGGCTTTTTTCTTAATGAGTTCTTTGAATAGTAAATTATGCCTCAGGAAAACTATAAAACAAAATCATTCTTTTTTATTAAGCAGTTAAAGCTTATATTTCTAGATATTATTGTAAATTGTTTACTTAATAAATCTTCTCTTGGGTATTATTCCACGACCTTCTACATTATTTTCTCGTAAGAAATACTTTGGAACTTGTCTACATTATATGTAAGGCGCAAAGCCAAAATAACTTGGTAACAGAGATAAAAATATACATTACTTCTGGAGTCACACCCTTTCTTATAAAAGCTTTTATTTCTAGAAGTTTATTTAAAGGGCCTCGTAAGCTCGCAAGAGTACTTGTTTCGCGCCTTTAGTTTCAGCAAAACGAAAATCTTGCATAACTTAATAACCTTTTTATTTTTGATTAGCTGTGCGGAATATAGGGCGTTAAGCAAGCTCTTAGAGGAGATGTATTCGTAACTAACCCTCCACGCTTATAGCGTTTTATACGCCCATCATTGGGTCATTAACAATATCGCATGAAGTTAATTTAAGCTGAAATAAAACGACTACGTAGAAAAATAATTTTTTTGGGGTTGCCTGCAGCCAAACGTAAAGTTGTTTGTTTTTATTAAACTACTATCGCCAAATACTATAAGTTCTTCCTCGGCAGTCCCGTATTGAATATTTGGTACCCCTTATAATACACTAAATCCCTATGGTGACATAAATACATTTTCCGCTTCTTTTGAAAAGTTGTCGCTGTACATTCCTCAAGCCTGATTTACCACTTGAAAGCTTTTCCTTTTCTCTTTCTAAAATAGCATGGTATATCATTTTTAAAAAGGTCCATTTTTCTCCGTTACTTTTAAGAGCGGTTTTTATCTTCTCTTCAACATAACCGAAATTTTTCATTTTTTCAAGGACTGTCTTTGATACTTCCTCATCCTTTTCTATGCATGGTATCACCTCAGGAAGGTATCTTCTAGGTAAACTTTCGTAGTCCTGGTTTACCCAGATGTGTTTCCGCACTTCGTCCATAGTAGCGCGGTGTTTAGAGTCGGTGGTAAGGAGCCTGTGGATCAAGTCACGCCCTTCTAAACATTAATTAAATTATTTACACTTTTTTTTTCAAACCTTTTAATGCTGTAAACTAATATAACCAGAGGAAACGTGCATTGGCTCGCTAAAAATTCCAGAAGTGATTCCAGTATATAGCATCTTCATGTCGTAACCGTCAAAAGGTAAACATCCGCAAAGTAACGTATATAGTATTACACCTAAGTTATAGTAAGATAAAGCTTTTCCTGTGCAGATAAGGCGTACCTATACTCCATAAATCCACTTCGGGGCCGCAGTATTCGATGCCTGATACCATTTCGGGGGCAGCATAAAAAGGGCTCCCACAAAAAGTGGTGTGTAATAAATACGGGTGGAACCGGTCTGAAAACCCAAAGTCAATGAGCTTGATATTCAGATTCTCGTCCAACAAGAGGTTTTCTGGCTTTAAATCTCTGTGTACAATAAAATTCTCATCAAAAATACATTTAACTTTCCTATTATTCTCAGTAGTAATACTATGTGACAGTAGTCTACAGCAGCAATGATCTGTCGAAATATTCTTCGTGCTTCGCACTCTTTAAGAAATTTACGTTCAACTATGTAATCGAAAAGTTCGCCTCCCTCTCAGAGTTAATTAGAAAATTAAAAGAAATTAGTTATCTTGTTTAAGTGAGCAATAAATTACAGATTAAATATTTACAGGAACGTATTCCATTATCAGTACGATTTCACTTTTGGATTCCAAAATTTGGTAAAGCTTTTTATAATCCATTTAACAAATAGAATCAATATAATTATCATTACAAACTTTAACAATATTTGGGTGGTCTAAAAGTTTTAAGATAGAAATTTCTCTATCAATTCTTTCCCATTGTTTTCCGCCGTGAACCTTTTCTTTCTTAATAAATTTTACAGCAACCTAAAAGAGATATCAAATTAGATAGTAGTACTACCTCTGAGTAAAATACTTTTTTTTGTGATCTACTGTCTTTCCCTAATTTTACTTTTCCAAAAGTTCCCTCACCAAGAGTTTTAAGTAACTTTACTCTTTTTAAAAAGGCTCGTTTACTATTGTATAGCTTTTCGCCTTCAAATTGCTGATTTAACTCTTTATCTTTTTTGTTCTCTCTTATATCTTCTTTTGTTAATGACTTAATTGGAAGAATATACTTAGGTTTTTTATTCCCTTTTCTGTTTTTCGCTTTAAAACCAAGACACGAATTCCAAAAAGATACTCGCTTTTCTGCTTCAGTAATCACAGGGCTGATTACTTCCAGTTTACTAGAATAATTAAATCCGTTTGTTGAGTGAACATTTTTATTGTTAGAGTCGTAAATTATAGACTCTACCAAGCTACTAGAACTAATTCTTTCTTGATTTACCTCTTTAAAATCTTCCAAATTTTCTTTCTGCATATGTATGGGATTGTGACTGTCTCTTATTGTATTCTGGCCAAAATTTATATTTTTAAATTTAACTTACCATATATCCCTTGCTTATATATATAGCATTTGTAACCTACCAACTTTATCCATCACACTTGTCAAAATGTTTAACTTCTTACTGAACGAGAACATAAATATGTTGTCGCCATATACGGCAAAATATTTTTAAAAAACTCAAAAGTGAAAGGTGCATCTTTTTAAAGAATAACCAATTACAAAATAGTATTGTAGGAAGAAACTCGAAATAAATGCTTTTAGGGTAAAGAGAGGCGAGACGTAATGAACTAATGGTTAGTCATTAACTGTGTAAATATAATTATTAAGTAAATAAATATTAACGTCGTTCTTCGCTTCAAAAGCTTATCGCGCATAATTTCTGAGGTAAGTAGGGGACTTCCAGTTTAGTAGACAAAACAATGATACTGTTCATTAAGATTTTCATTGTCTTTAGTAAAAAGAGTGGATTCGATTAGTTTATATTACACTCTTCAATATGTTTCAAATAAGGAAGAACGTTATGTTATAAAGTAAAAATTCTTATTAAACGTTATTTTCATAAAATATTTAAAAACAAAAAATGCATTTAAACTGGTTTTGTCGATTTTGTAAGTATATATTTATTTCCAATTTTTAAATTTCAGTTTATCCGACCTTTATATTAGAAGGTGTTTATAAAAAAAATTAATTAAATAAAATTTTGAAAAAATATACACAATATGCATCGTGCAATTACTATAGTTGGCTAATATAAAAATTTATTATTTTTGAATTTTTTTATGTCATCTCTATTATTTCGTTTAGCCTTGTTATTACTTGTACGTAAAAGCTAAATCATCTCTGCTTATAATTTTTCTTCATCACATAATAAGTGGGTTTCAGTTGAAAGCAGTGCATATATTCCCAAAAAATCATTCGACAAAAATTTTAATACTGAATTGTAAATAGTGCAATGTTAAAAACTTTGTATTAAACCTCTATTAATATCAATGTTAGATTTGATTGTAGATTAATTGATAAAAAAGTTAAGATTAATAATGTTTTGTTATTTTCATATTAAATAGTGTAGCTACCTTTCATAATATAGAAAGATAACTTTTTTTTTAATTATAAACCATTGATTTCAATAATTCTGTAGCATTTTCATGCTCTCGCTTTCTACAAAGTTCTTAAACCGCTTAATCTGATTTATCTTTTTAAGAGGCTTTGAGTGGCCGTCCGTAGGAGTATACATCGCTTAGTAACGTAATGAGAGCTTAGAGCCCACTAACTTTTGAACGTACAAAAGCACCTATTAAACCTTTTTTGGTAGATGACGCAAACTTTCATTGATGTTCAGAGACAATATACTATGAAGAAATTATGAACAAAAAACCGAAAAAAATATGGATTAAAACCATGAAAGAGTGCGTTAAAGGTTTTGCAGAAGTACCTTTAACAGGATGTATAAGATGTTAACCTCTAGTCATATATTCACTTATATACGAAAAAAGGACCACGCCAAGTGCCCTAAAATAAGACATGCTCTCGTTGTGCTATTGGTATTAATAGTAATTTAAAAACTAATTTAACTGGGAGAACAAAAAAATAAGTCTCCCTAAACTCATATACAAGTTACTACAACAGTCAAGCCTTGATATTCCCTTTATATAATGCTAATTTGTTTTTAAAAAATATGGGGGTTCTCCTAATTTTTCGTTAAATAATATTAATTGACATAACTTTTCGATATACGCGTTATTCCCCTACAAAAATTAAGAAAGACAACCCATTAATTTGCTGGCATTAATTATACTGGAAGGAATAATTGGGGTAAGACGTACATCCACCATTTAAAAGAGAGCGGTTAAGATGGTTTAACTAATTTAATGCGCCACGTATGAGTTTCCGCCAGAGGGGATGCCCCTAGGGTTGTTTATTAGAATAAATAAACTTTGAACAAAAAAAATAAGCAATATTTAGTCAATACTTAGTGAAGATTTTAAAGCTTTTTAAATATTAAAACTCATTCGCAATAGTATTTTTTACAAAATCCACGTTGAGGACCTCTTTTGCAACTTATTAAATACCCAAAAAAAATTGGTTAGTTAAATATACATTTTTCCATTTTTAATGTTGACGGTGTTCTTTTAATTTAAGCTTTTAACGTGCAGTCGATAGCGCTGGTAGACTACAATGTTTACCACGCTTGTGGTGCATCATGCTAATGACACAAGCACTATGTATTTTTTGTAAAATTTTGTAATTGTTTATTTGGATTTACTTTAAAGGAAAGCATTTACTGTATCTGCCTATTCATTGTAACATATAAGTTTTTGTCACCACCAATGTCCTCTTCTATTTATTTTGGTTAAAGCTCTTTATAAATTTTGAGTAAAGTAGCCAATCAAAAGTGCTAGTTAAGTTTATAAGAGCGCAATACTATCTATATTTGTAAGGCGTTTCTTTTAGTTAGCCAACTCGCCTCAAGCTGTTCTTGGGTGCGTGTGTAAAGCAAGTAATAATCAAATTTTTTTCTTCTATAGATATTATCCTAGTTATATGGCTCTACTGTTTAACTTTAAAACTACGGGCCGAGGGAACTCCATAAATAGGAATACAACAATTTTTTTTGTCGCTACCAAAACTTTATTTAACAATGAGGTAAAATAACCCATTACGGTTTTAATTCAAAAAGTTAAGTCGAGTAACTTATAAATTCTAGAAGAGCGAAACTACATATAATTAAGAGTTATATATGTAGTTTAGTTGCTTTTAATTTATAAAATTATTTATTAAATACAATATAAATAAAAATGCATTAATAGAATGTAATTTACAAACTAGTTATTTTAAAATACAAATGCGTTAAATGTACCCTGCAATTACTGGGACTAGGAAAAATATCACTTGTAAAATGTCAAAATATACTTATTTTTCAGTTGTCCGGCTTTATTTGCTTTCACATTTAAATGCTCGATTTGAAAACATGCATAAGATATTCACTGTACGGAGGCCACACCAAAGAGTAGGGTACAAGAAAACAAGAAAACATTTGATTTTTTGTTGTGATGGCTTGTCGTCTCTAGTTATTTTGGAATCATGCTAAGTTCAATAACCCTTATAGTCAACAAACGGGCAAATTAAGCTCATAACGCGAGGTGGTCAACCTCGCCCTACTCAATGTGACAAGGCTTTCAAAAATAACAAAAGCCTGTCTATGAAATTCTTAATTTGAGAGTAATCATTATAAAAAGTCATTTACGAATTTTAAAGTTAAATGACCTTTACAATATAAATTAGACGATATTAAAAGTATAATTAGCAAAACCTCGAGAGAATGTATTTATCCATTTAAACCTAAGATTAAATTTGCACTCGTTGCTTATTAACCTAGTCCTCGTGAATTCCTAAGTCTAATTTATTTATTTATACATGAAGTTGGCGCTACAGTTTAAAATTACGCCCTTTTTACTCCTTAATCCAAATTTCCTTTAGAGTAGAGGATGTTATTTATATTATTAAAAATTGTTATTATTTTCATAATAATAATTATTTTTGTTATCATCATTACCATTACTACTATATCATTATTACTATCATTCCTATTAGTTATAGTAGAAGTAGTGGTAAAGGAGAGATTATCAATATAAGTATCCAGTTTGTCAGCGTAATATGAATAAGTCCAACAGGTGCTTACTTCTGAATTTGATACACCATAAGGAATTGTGATTACTATATCGTAAAGAGTAATTAGTTGGGGCGGATAATGGTCCGTTCTAAGCAATTTCCTGCGATGAAGCTTACAGTCTTGGTGGGCAGATAAAAATTTCTTATTAACCACCTCCGTAGGTACACAGTCGGAAAATTTATTTTGCGTAAACTACGTCTCATTGAAGAGTAGCCATAAGCTGAAGACGCGTTTGGGAGTATACGCTTTAAGATGCACTTATACGAAAGCAGTTTGTAATTGAGCTTCAATTTGCTTTTTTTGCATATTGGAAGGTATAAAACCTAATGGTTCTAAATTTTTTAGTTAAAATGTTTAAGTGAAATCTTATACATCAACAATCACTCCAAGGTACTTAGCCTGCGCGCATCAGAGAAAATTGTTATTAAATAACCCTAAGTTGCTTACTGGGCAATGTTTCCTTACAAGCGAGATCAGTAAGATCTTGTATTTTGCGGAATTAAGCTTAAATTATTAACATGTGAACCAGTTTTCAAGGAGGTTCCTTTTTATAGCAAACCAGCACATTAGACAAGGGGAGCATTGTTGACTGTAGGTATGACAAAAGTGAAGATAGAAAATAACAGAGGAAGCGAGAAGGAGCCTTGTGGACACCGGCTAAAAGTGAGACGAATTAGAGGTTAGGGTTTCCAACTTAACCCTAAATTTTCTATTTATCAGACAGGTCTTAATTGGTGGTATTAGGTACGTAACTATTATATAGTCTACCATTTTTAAAAGTAATCCCTGGTGACTCTTTCAACTGCTAAGAGTACAAGTATTATAGCTTTACTAAAGTGCTCAGGAAGCTTTAAGATCTGTAAAGAGTTAGAATGATCTTTTCGACTTCACAGCCCTACAACCTTTTTAAGATAAACGTTTTAACGAATTTGTTAGCCACGTGTGTCCATTAATTAGCAGGCCCAGGACATAAGAGATAGACTCAACCCCGTAGCAGGAGATTAATTTTTTCTGCTCTTCCTTTCCTGCGTGGAACGTGTTGTACATAGAGCGGCAGCCAAACTATGTTTATATATATAACTTGACTAATAAATTTATTTCTACATTTATTCCTACCCTGGGTATACTTCCACATCTACGCTTTTATATCCGCTACCCTCCGTAGTGCCATTCTAGGAATAACAAATTGTCCAAGGCGTTACTAATATATTAATATGACCCTACCACGAAGAAAGCTCCATTAACACCTAAAAATTATACTTTTTGAAATGAGCTGAGGTCAACCACCTACTAAAACTAGGGGCCGATAAAGAATACCAGGGTTCGTATCATTATTCGCAGTTTTTCCCTAGGTATAACCGCAAACGACCCGAGTTTATAGCTGGGCGGAATGAGTAATTATTTATTTTAAAGAAACCTCTTTGTCTCTGTAATGCAGTCGATGAATATTTATACAGTGAATCTAGTAGCTGCCGCGGTCGCGGTGTTATTACAACTCTTTCTCCACTGTTCAGTCAGTCGACTAAAGTTCTCTCTTTCTGAGTTCAGGATGACCAGTCTTTTTGTGTTTTCGGCCACTTTGGCTAGTATATTTATTCTGGTATTTAAAAAAAATTCTTTAAGTACATACCATATATATGATAACTTCTTTCTTTACTATGAAGTATAAAGCCAACGAATTGGGCGCCTTAAAGTTAAAAAATAAACTATTAAAATACCGTAAAGTAACCTTACACACCTCAAACGGGAAAGTTACTCGCGATTTTGAAGTAAAAAATTATGCATTTTTATAACTAGTTATAAAGGTATTTATTTTAGAAATGCACCTCTTTGGATCCGCAAATTCTTACTCACATGTTTAATAGCTCGTTGTTCTTTACGTGCTCTTTGATATTTTTTTATTTTTTGTTTCGAGGCGTAATTATTACGGTAAGTATTAATATGATTATCTTATATATATATATTTTTAGCTGCCTTTTACTTTTAGGTCAGATACTCTCTTTCTATTATCTGTCCTGCTTTTTTGGCTTATTTTGTTGCTCTTCTTGAATCGTGAAGTAAAAGAAAAAAATTTCTTGAGGAAAAATTATAATAAATGTTTATACATTCAACTTTGTTATTTTCTTCTAATCTAAAAAGAATCTTTAACCCCTAGTTTACAACCGCATATACATTTATAATTTAAGTTGAAGTCCTGCCAAGGCGCTAGAGACTTTTAGTCAATATTTGAAAAAACACACTTAGCTATGTGACTCTTTTATATTAAATTTTTTAAAAAATTATTCCTTAGCAGCTTTCCAGCTAGAGATTATACGAAGAGTTAAGGAGGTAAAGAAAAGCAACTTTGTTTACAAAGTATCAGGCTGAATTGTTCAAACTACACTCGCAGGAACCGAAGAAGACCTAAAAATGTTAGAATGTAGAAGAGTTTATAAGTACAGAGGGATGTAATCCCTTGAGTTCAGTATTTTTTAAAAGAAGTAGAAGGCCTTATAAAAGATCTGAATACCAGTAAAGTTAGGATAACATAGCAAACAAAGCCTTACACTATTGAAAAGGCCTCGGCTGGTGTGGACTAACTTTGTGTTCTTTTTTTAATAATTTGAAAACGCCCTTTTGATAATGCTTTTTCAGTACTCCTTTATCACTTGAAATCCGTGAATATCATCTCTTTAGTAAAAATTTTAAAAAAAGGCAATTTGCTTAGAAATAAAAGGATTTGCACTTCAGAAAAAAGTATTACCGCCCGGGCACTGTGGCTTTAGGAAAAACATTTTACGACACTACAAATACTACGTATAGTTGAAGAAGTTACCAAAGGTTTCAACTTAAAAAAAACTTTAATGATACATGGCATCCGGAGCTTTCCATACACGCCACCCGTCTCCTTTTATTGGCAAAAAAGCTCGTCTCAAGGCTTTACTCGTTCTGTGGAATTAAAAAGTTCGCCCACTGGTTGGTGAGATGCTGTTCGGGCCAACAGCCGGTGGCGGGTTTTGTAAAGTTTTGGAGGATACTGCTCCTTAGCTCAGCCCGCAGTTCGCTTAGTTCATTGCCCTCGGGAACAGGAAGATCGAGCTTTGCCCAGTGGGCTCTGAGCTGCGGAGTATCTACGGCCCGCTTCGCGCAGTATCTTGGTGTAAACCTAGTCAAAAGTTCTTTTATGTTCCAGTGCGCGTTCAGCGTGTATAGGTCTCTACCGGCCGGAAGATACATGAATATTCCGATTGACGGGGATACATCGCTTATTAAAGAGTGGAATATGCCGAACTCATCATACTTGAGCTACACTGACCATCTCTGTTCGATCGGGGCGGGAGCAGGCATGTTCAAGGCCTTTATGCGCTTCAAAAGGCTTATGACAAACTCAATACCCGGGCTCCTATTAGGTACTAAGTTCTACTCAACTTTGAAGGCGACCGCGTGAATGCGCTCTGTCTCTTTTTTGTACTGCTATCTGGCTTTTAATTAAGGTCATTGAAAGTTTCTTCAAAAATAGAAATTTTACGGTTCAATGCAACGATTCCTCATCTAGAGTACATGAAAAGGATAAAGTATGTTACAAGGATCCTTGTCGCCTCCCGCACTATATATATATATAGGCAGTCCTTCCGACCAAGACATAAGTATAGCACTCACTCTTTGCGGATTCTATGGCTCTCATTTCCCTTTCTAAATCTCTACTGCTTTGCGCAAGCCGGTCAATATCTACGGGTAGTACGAAAGGTAAAGTTAAAAATTAACGTAGAGTAGACCAAGTGTCTATTATCTCTAAACGAAAAAAACTCCATAATAAATTGTTGTTACATGTGCGAAGCTTCCTTGGTATTCTGAGGAATAAACAACAAACTTACATGGACAAAACACCGATTACATACGATGCAAAGCGAAATGGCATACTGCGCCTCTACATACTTGCCTTATTTGAAAGTATAATTATAAATAAAAAAGGTAACAATATAAACAATACTTTGTCCAATGTTAACCTATGCTTCTCTCCATGGCCTACTTCTTAACTCAACTCCTCAAGCGAGTACAAAAGTATTAAAATAAGCTATTACTATTATACTAACTTCCCATGGTATATTAAGAATGCTTAACTTCACAAGAATTTACATATAAAAACCATTATAAAGTGCATTAAAGCCTTACCCACATATACTTTGTACAGAATTAGTGAGTATACTATATCTATAACAAGATCTTAAATATATATCAAACAAGGAACTACGCTAATCACACTCACGCGTATTAACTAGTGTAATTGGAAATAATAGCGATTTAAACTTAATCTAATGAGTAACTAGGGGTGAAGCAGTTAAAATAGTTAAATGTAGACCGCATTTTTTAAGGTAATTGTAAATAGTAAGAATTACTAACAAATAAGCATCACCCCTAAAAAATTAAGGGCCAACATATTAGGTAGTTTAAAATTCTGGTCACCACCAACTAAAGAACCGTCCAGCACTTCACGCCAAAGTAGAAAAGTTTAATGAACTTTTGCTAAGTGTTTACATAATAAGGGATTTAAAGCTCAGCCCTCATTTTAAAGAATACAAAAAGGGCAAAAATAACTTTTTTATGAGTTATATTGAATGCTACAATTTCTTCACTAGTGGTGTATTAAGGTCTACGTTTTAGCTTTTCTAAAATTTTAAACTATATTTTAAATACGTCCTTACAAAACATTGTTGAAAAGTATACCGATATTATTATCATTTTTAATAGAGGAAGTCATACAGTTGGGTTTAACAAGTTTGTTATAGGGGCGTACATAAATCTTTAAGGTAATGATACTCTTCACATAAAAATCTTTGATCATCTAGCTTAACCAAGTACGATAAAGGAATTCAGTTTGCTGTAAAACCCAATTTTCAACCGAACATTCCATTCTGTAAAAATTGCGTTGTCTCATGCTCGCCTTGAATTTTGAGGGTTATCCACTTTTAAAATCAGGGATGCGTAACATTTGTTATCAATAATGAAAACTGGTACAATTTGGTGCGTTAATAGTTTAACTGTTGAACTGCGTGTGTGCGACCTTTTCAAGATCTTTCTGTCGAAATTTTTTTTTTAACCATTTTATGTTGTCGTGGTGCAGTGCATTTTTTAATGCTATATAGCACCTCGCTTTCCTTCATGTAAAAAAACCCCAAACGCCTTCTCCCGCAGTAAAAGTGAGCGACTTCGACAACGTAAATAATTAGTATGGGATAAGGTACGAAATTTTAGCTGTCACCCCCGTTTGATACTAATTATAAACTTTTTAAAAGAAATACACTTAATTTTTTTTTTTATAAAGTGGGGTTACAGAGAAAGAGAGCCTTTTCATAAATTGCCTACTATCATATAAAGAATTTACATTACTGCATCGATTTTCCTTAAATGTTCTTATACCTCGACATGATAGTCTTTCACAAAAATTAAAAAAGCGTTGTGTACAGTTTATAAACGAGTTAGCAAAAAAAAAAAGATAAATTTTGCTTGACTATTAAGACATTAACTTATTATAGAGTATCAATTAACAGATATACGCCTCGTTAAATGGTTCGAGGCCAATTAATTTATAAACTAATTTTACAGAAAAACTACATAAAAATTTCTTTTTTTTAACTTAAATGCTAAATAATTTCTAGCAAGTAAAACTAATATTACGTCAGAAAAATTGCCGAAAGAAAGTTTTAAGTTGACGAGGTGCCTTCACCCTCCTTTCTTATCTAAACTAAAGTTATTTAACAAGAATTCAAGCACAATCCAATTTAAAATTAAATTATATAACAATAATTCTCAAAGCAAGGAAAGTTCGAGTGGCAAGTTACGTGTAAAGTAGCAAGACGCGTGCACTTTCCACACCTCATTGACCTTGAAGGCCCCCCGCTAACTTCGCGTGATATAGTTATCGTTAGTATTAGACAAAGTTGACTTCCACATGACACGACCTTAGTGCATGTGATCGTTTACAGTTAATAACATAATATCCTAATTTTATTCGTGTGCTGTTCTACTGATGACTTTAAGTGATGGCAATCATTCAATCTTATGATGCTTTCTTAGGCTTTTATGCAGTTGCAACAGCTGATGGAAGGTTAAGAGTTTGGGAGAGCCTTACAGAGGGGGGTAACTTAAAAGTTAACTTTACCTTCAAGTCTAATTTGGCTGATGGCTTCTTCTCAATTTCTTGGTCTAATTGCCTTGTGTGTTACTTAATATGTTATTTCGTTAATATATTGTTTTTATCTTTCACACCCTTTTATATAAAAGTAGAGCCCAGAGAAAGATAATGGCATACTACAAATCTTTCTAGTTGCTTTGGGGTCTCGTTTGGGCAATATTTATGTATTTGACGTTAAGAAGGGGGAAATTTATAAACAACTAAAAGGTTTATATTCATTCATGTAATGTTTAAGTTTATTGTTTTTTTTCACTTAGCTAATTTATGAATACCCACGCTTTATGATTTTGATTTTTTTCAGGTCATAAAGATGCTGTCAACTCTTTGGTTTTCGGTGAAAGCAATGCTAAATTGTACTCGTGCTCATCAGATAGATATATTATTGAGTGGTGTATCTCCACTGAGCAACCTCTGAGGTACTCTTAGTCTCTTGATATTGTGTTAAGTTTTGGTTAAATCGTATGACCTTTTGTATATTTTCAGGAGTTGGATCGGAGACACTCAGCCTTTACATTCTCTTTTTTGTAATAAGCATTGTTTTCTCTCTGCGGGGCGTACTATTAAAAATTGGGATGTCGTTAAAAAAAAAATCCTTAAAGTTTGATTAAATTAGCTGAATTTTTTTTTTAATAAAGTTTTAATATTAATAGAAATACAGCGGCCACGAAAATTTTATTAAGCAACTACTACTTTCGCCAAATGGAGAATTTTTTTTAACATTAGCAGAAGAGGACCGTTTTGTATATGTTTGGCCCCTGGAGGGCCCTTCCCAGCAGGACACCGTTAACTCGGTGGCTGTACTCTCTGCAGCCTCTTCTGCTTTGTGGATGGATTTATGCTCTTCTGGATCTGGCGAGGCATAATTTTACTTCTTTTACGGTTGTTAATCTAATTTTTTTTGTAGTTTTGTGTTACGTTGATTGTGACATGTGAGAATCTTCAAGTGTGGAATATTCCCTACTCATTGCTACACAAGGACTCGACACCTAAGAACTCTTTGAGCCCAAACTGCACTATTAACAGTTTATTTATACCACTTGAGCCTTTGCTTAATAAATGCGCGTTGAGATTACCTTTTGACTTTAGTAGTAGCGAACAACGGAAAGTGTTTACCGCTATTGAGTGCTAAGTTTACCAGGAACTCTGAGATACAAGAAGTAACTTTTATACGTACTTATAATAAAACTAACTCGCCAATTGATAGGAGCTTTCACATTTAGTAACGAGGATTTGATTTTAGTCTTTATATTATTAAATTTTGAAATTTGTTATTGACTGTAGAGCTTTATATTTTATTTTTGAAGAAGAACGTAAGTCACGGGTTTTTGTTACAGTACAGGAACTTTATTTTCCTCCTTGTAACACTATTGAGTGCGTGGGATACTAGTTCATTGATATTTTACAGGTCCTCATTGCGTATGGCTCGAGCTTGAAGCCTCTATTTGTCTTAGAAAGCTGCGTCTCCGGCAGTGGTGAGTGGAGGGAGCATGTAACCATTACAGGCACGCCAGAGTTTTGAGAGCTGCTTTCTTTCATAAACTTAAGCATGCTGCTTACAGAGGAAAGAAACTTGGAGGTTTATATTGAAGGGAAACTGCGGGAAAAGTCCCCCCGCGCGCCGCAATCACCAATGATTCTTGGCCCTCTCGACTTGCAAACGCCCGGGGACAAGGTGACGTGCGAGGAACTGATGGATGAGACTCCTCTTCCTGCGGGTGTCGAGAGCGAAGGGTGCTGTGAACAGGAGATTCCCATTTTCGAGCGGCTAAAGAAAAGTGAAGGGGACAGTTCGGTTCCTTACGCCATTGATCCGAACCCTCCGACTGCGGACTCGTTGGGCAGACTCCTAGTGCAAGCATTGAAGAGGTGCCTTGTCTTGCTGCACGCCTAATGGCCACTGGCTTCACACTGGTCAACAGCGGCGACCGCCAGCAAATGGGAGACGTTTTATCGAACCATAATACGTCCATTATCGCCAATACCGTCGCACGCCTTCCGAACGCCCACGTGATCCCCTTTTTAAGTCATCTTGTTAATGAGTTTCAAGCGAAACCGAATCGGGGGCTTGAGCTTATCCCGTGGATCCGCGCAGTCATGCTTTTCCACATGTCCTACTTGATGACTGTACGCGACTCTGCTGTTGCCTTTTCCGCGTGACTTTATTGCTGCGGCCAGGTGCCTAAACTTCTGGAGAGTCTGGGCGGGTTGCATCGCCTCGTGGATGCTCGGCTTTCGGTGTTCAAAAAACTGTTGAAGCTCAACGGGAGACTGGACCTTCTTCTTTCCCAAGTATCCACCTCCTTTATTTACTGGTTTAAACGGCTTGACACACACCGGGTCAGATCAACACCCGCGGCACGCCTGGCGAGAACGACCATTTGACGACTCCCAGCCACGTGCAACAGGAAGAAGGTAAACTGCCTTGGCCGGTGCGGGAGGAAGGCAACAAGCTTACGTGCACATGCACAGATACGGACAGTTCTGGTGAGAGCGATGCGGCCGTGGACACGGTTCAATACGGAGAAGACGAGCAGGAAAGCACCACGGCCAGCGACGGGGACGGGCCCGATAATAAAGATGCCTAGTGAGTTATGAAACTTTTATTTTAGAGGGTTGCGGTGAGGCTGTTAGTAAGCGGATCCTGTTAAAAAATATTTTTATATTAGAGATCAGATTAGTTAAGGCAGTCTCGCAGCTGTAACAACCCAGGAAACCGAGCTTTTGGTATCCACCGCGCTCCTCTAGCTCCCTCTGCAGCTTGACTTTTTCGTCTAAATTTGTTATTAACTCCTTTCCGAAGGACAGAGCGATCTTTTTTTAAATGGTGCAGGAAAGTCACGATATATCAAGCCAAACTGTGAAAGTGTTAGCAGTACCTTTAACATTTCTGGCAAGATGGTCGGATCAACAGTGCCTTTTCCAGCCTTTTGCGTACACATGATACTTCCATCTTTGTTAACACCGAACTTATCACAAGATAAATGTTTCCCTTTAAAATATACGTAAAATTTTACCGTCACGCGACCCACCGTGCAGCACTCCTCCTCTATACTGGCGTCGACGATAAACTTACTTCCGATCTATTTATAGTTTGCCTTAAATACCACGTAAAAAGAAGTTAGAATTTAAGAACCTCGCTAAGAGTCACGAGAACAGGCCAACTTCCAAGATCCAAAGTTTGGCATGCTTGAGGATTGTCAGAGATCTCGAGTTCGTAGTTATCGCCATCCTCAACGACAGAAATTTCAGGGATTCTTTAACAGAAATGATCATAAAACATAATTATATATGAAATAAAACCATTACTTTACATCCAACAGAGCAGCCCTAATAGCGAGCGATATGGCATCAAGGACGTTTCCGCCGTTAACTAAAATCTTTGAGAAGGGAAGGTAATTTTTAATAAGCTGATTATATCTCTTATACATTTTAGTTATAAGCGAGAAGAAGTGCCCGTTATTATACACAATAACAACTATTGCTTATACATAGTCAAACGATACGAAACCATTGTGTCAACGTAAATAATCCAACACTGTTTTTCGGGGATAATAATAAGCTTATTCATATCGATGGCCTTTTTGTTAGCAATCATTCTTTCTAAACATCTTGAAAAATGGAATGAAAAAGTTTAGTAAACAATCTATTACAAAAATAGAGAAATTGAAAGTCTATAATGATAAAAAGTTTAGAAGAAACCTCGTTAAACAAGCGCTTAAAAGATCTCCACCTCGTCCCTGAAACTCTGGAGAGGCGCTAGTAGAACATTCAACCGAAAATAAAATTTGTCCTGAAAAATAAGGAAATATTGACGGGAACAAACAGTAGAATTATAAACCTTCATCTTGGCCTGGCAGAGGACGCCCTAACTCTACTTTAATGCCGACTAAAACGTCGGTGGCGGCCTTTTTAAAAAGATAAGAATAATTTATTACTTTCGCTAGACGTTGTAAAAATATAATAAATACGAGACGTAAACGGGAAGAACCGCTTGTATTTGATAAAACTCCCGTTTCAATGGTCAAGTGACGGTAATCAAAACAAGATCTCCCGTCTGCACGGATGTCCTTTTGGACGCCTTTTTCGAAAAAATAGAGGTATCAACAAGGAAATCTCGAAGAATAAATTCTACCGTCTAAAATAAATTCTTTCTCAAAGGAAGAAAGTTTGTTTAACATTTTAAAGTAAAATAACGTGACTATCTAAAAAGCATTATCCCTTTTATATAAAATAAGTTTTTGAGTCACAGAACAGGCAAAACTAAGTTACAATTCCAAGTCCTTCGGTAAAGCGCATAGCTTCATGCCACATGACTACCATATCGCAGGCTTAAATCGTAAAAGGTTAAGTGCTTGAATGAAGCGGACAATATGTTTGACACTCTAGTTAAATTAGTGGATGTCTTTATAGTCACTTTAGTTTATCTATAGATAGCAACTGGAAATTTTAAAGCTTTCAAATTTTTAACTGAGTTAAATATCTTACGCAATTAAGGAAGAATTGATCTTCTCAAATTTACTGTAGTGGAAAAAACTGTTTTTCCTTATAAAAGTTATCTAAGTACCATGAAACTTTTTGAGGAACTTTAAACATCTTAACTGACTTGCCAATAACTTATTAGAGGGGTGTAACTTTTCTTTCTTTATAGAAGAAACCAAGCTTTTATTGGAAATGGGTCAATTTGTGCGAGAAGAAATTTTAGATGTACAAGTGATTATAGAGCTAAAGAACAGCGAAAGATGGTTCACAATTTTTCTGTTACATCTAAATTACCCAGTGAAATCTTTGAAAGAAAATTCCCTTCTTATTTTGCGTAAACCGACTTTTTTTTATCATAAAATCCCCAGTTGATATAGTTAAAATTTATAACACTACTTTATTTTTAAAGGCATTGGCGTAGTTACTCGGTAACTAAATAGTTTGTAGTATACTAAATCTTTAATTTAATTAATTTCTTCAAGAAAAGTATCATATTGGCGGTTTGTGTGCCACTGCTGACTATAAAAAAACAAATTTAACAAGTCATATAGTACGTTTTATATTAACTCCTTGAAATAGTCAAATATTAATTTGATTAAAATATTAAAACATCTGAACAACCTTTTAAAAGAGTAGCGCCTGTTTTAACCCATATATCGTTAACCCGCTTCTTAGAAGGACAAACAATACTGTTATAGCAAATGAAAGGATGCTATTACTACCACCTTTGACTGTTTTTTTTTGAGTTTAAAAGTAATTTACAACTTATTTTTCAAAGAACCTTTCGTAATAATATTTTTCGACTTGATAACAAAGATTTTTTTTATGTAAGAACGTGCTAAACCATTTTTTGGTTATATAAAGCCATAAAAACAAGTTAAATAAAAATTTAAATAACCGATTACAGAACTAAAAAAAAAAAAAAACCAGGTCTTTCCAGTTGTAAACCTTTTCTTTAGCTATGAATAACAAATTTTATAAAATATTTTCCCCATTATTCGCTTTAAGAATGCCAAACTATCTAAACTCAATGCTTCATTTATCACAAAAAGCAACAAGGTATACTTCCATAAGACAAGCTACAATAAGTATTATAACGAGTACAAAGCAAAATACTGTAGTGTAAGGAGCTAAAAGTTACAGTCCTAATAATCCCCCCGTTTCAAGATCAGTGTTGAGCTGGGCTCCTATAAAAACCTTTTAAGAAATGTAACTAATCGGCCCCGCAGGGCTCCCTTCTATTGCCCCTTCTATTTGCAATTTTATATGAGCGACGTGCCCCTGCCATCAAATCCACAGCCACAAAAACCACCCTCTACGCCGATTATGCGGCCATTCACCCATCGTCCAAATCTCCCGCCTTGCCACGCAAGCATCTACAGCGCTATCTTAACGCCCTTGCTGACTGGGGCGGTAAATTGGAAAGTTTTTATAAGTGCGATGAAGAGCATAGCTCTTTTAATTACTATAAAATGCGTCCCGTCTTGGCGCCCTTAACCTTTATTGGCGCTAAGGTTCCGTGAGTTTCGCAAGCGAAATACTTGAGCCATCATTGACAACAGACTTTTCTGGTAGCTGCAAGTGGACTACCTAGTGGCGAAGACCAAGGCAGCAACTAAGGCGCTTTACCCTTTACTATGCGGTAGGAACAAAAGCTATTTCTGCAAAAAAAAAAACGGCACTTGTTTATATCTTACACTCAACCAATAATAATACGCGTCTGCTGCTTGGATCTACGGTCCCACTGCAATAGCGTCGGCACTTCAAGTGTGACAGTACAAATCGCTGCGCGTTATGATAAATGGGCCGTGGTTTGCGCGAAATGAACCTCTTCACCGGGGCCTGCAACTGGGCCCTTTAGACGTCATCTTCCGCGTAAGACCAATGCCCTTTCCGACAGACTAGCCAGGCACACTAAGCGCTTGCTAGTGAGTAAATCTTATTAACGCGCCGTGGGACGGGGTCACGCCGCCCACGTGACGCGGTTGGCGCTAGTTTTTGGGTAAACGTCAAGAAAATGGTGACACTTTTTCAATTAAAAGCTATTTCGTAACACGTCTGCGACCACTCCTGATTGAGAGCTCGAGTATTCCAACTTTTTTGGTAGCTCGAGCACCAGGATACTCTCATTTATAAATAATCAAATAAATAATTCTAACTAATAGTGAAAACGCCGGCCTGTGAATGTAGCCTGAGCAATTCAACTTCTTATTAAAATTTGCGATAAATATTTAACTTATTTATATAGTGATTTATTAACAATCTACTTATAATTAGAAAACTTAAACTACGTAAATTATAACTACTGACCTTATATTACAGACTTTATTTATATTATATTTTTATTTTATTATTACTATTACTTTTCTTTTAATCTTTTTTTTCAATTACTATTTTTTTTAAAAAAAATTATATCCTTATGTTATTTATAAGTTCCTCTTCTGAAGAAGAGCTTCGAGAATTTATTGCTAACTTATTGGCTATAAAATAAGAACTCAGAAAAGAGTTGGATTCTACAAAGGCAATACTTCTTGAAGTTATCAAAATTACTCAGGCTAAAAACAAGTGTAAAAGCAAAAGGGCCCTTTTAAAAATATGACTAACAATAATATTGTATTTTCGGCCTTAAAAATTCTAGATCAACCAGATGCTTCCGAGGTGATAGAGAGACCCTTAAAGTTACAGAAGACGAGTCCAGTCATGACGAAGTAGCTAACATTAAGAATAGTAGTGGTAGTAGCATTAATTTTATTACTAATAGTTCCTATAATAGCGTCATTAATAATAATATAACTGTTAGCAACAACAGTAATAGCAAAAATAGTACATACAGCAATAAAAATAAAAATATTAGTAGTATTAATAATAGTAACAAGTTTAATCTTTATAATAAAAATAATAATAACCCCAATAAAGCCCACGACAAGCTGAAAGACATTAGAGACTCAGAAAAGCCTCAAGAGCTTTCACGGTTACCGTAGACATGGAGATGGGCAGCGCGTCTGACATTCCCCCCTATTATTAATGAACGACCATCTACTGCGGCACCCCACCCCCCTGCGAGCTCGTAAAGAGGAAATTTCTCCTATTACCCTTTGTGAAAAACCGAAATGACCTCTTGTAGAGATCCTGCAATCCAATGTGACATTATCCCGAAAACAAGAAATACTCTTTGGAAGGAAAATTTTCCGACCACAACTGAAGAATACCGCGGATCACAGCTGTTATTGGACAATCTAGAATTACAGCATTTCACCTATCAATTACCTGAAGGTCAGCCGTTCAAACTTGTTATCCGTGTAAGGGATTGCACCGCATATATATATAGTAGCTGATAGCACTACTCTAAAATCATCATTCAAAGTACATTTATTTTTAAAGACTCTAGCATTGTGTATCTACTATAGACTAGCCAAGAAAAATGCTAATTCAGTAGATTTTAACAATGGTTTTTGGATAAAATAATAATGCTACCTGCCATCACTGATTCTACAGGCCTTACTCCACACGCTTTCAGCAGCACCTAATTGCTACTTTAGAGTAGGATTCTATAGAACTTAGCATGTTTCACCAAATTTATCATTTAAGCCCTGCATGTTCTCCGTTGGCCAACCACAAAGGAAAGCCGCCGAAGTCAATGAAAGTACTCTACGTGAAGCCAAAGTATGCAAGTTAATTAGCTTGATACTATAGAATATAAAGTCATCAGAGAATGTGACAAGTTCAGTCAGCTGTTATGTTTATGTATGTAGCGAACCTCAACATGTCGAGCATCCAAAGGTACAGGGAAGATTGCACCTGACTATAGACTTTAACCAGCCAAGGGATTTTAACCAAGTTTAAAAGCATGTTTTTCAACACGACCTGAATGGATCCTAGAGCTTTCCAAAGTACAGCGAAACCCTCATAACAGAGCCGAACTTAGGAAGGTACCATAATCACGTTCCATGGGGTTTCACAGTTAATTAACTGTTAGAGCTAGCCAATAATTTCAGGTGTTATTAGTTTACTGAAACAGCATAGCCAAACCCGTTGAAAAGTATAGGGTGACTTGACCCGAGACAAATGTTATTGCATTTACTCTGCAATCCGCCACCGGATGGCAACCTATAGACCGTACTAAACCGTAGCCTTCGTACAGCCACGAGGAATAACGCCAAGGCTGGACGCAAATTTTATATATAGGCTTGTCTGTTACAAGAACTTGTACGACGCTGAACCTGGCGGCAAAAAGCAACCGTTACTTTCAGGAAGAGTGTACAAACTATTACGAAGGATCAAAAGGTTCGACCAACAGTTAAAGGCACCAAAGTACGCCTAGCCCTGCCACTAACAGGCCAACCTGTCACCACAGACATTAAAATGTTTCTTTAAAGGATCGCCGACGCGTACCTCGCAGTGGTTAAAGTAATAGAAAGGTTTCATCGCACGTCCCGCGCTCAAAGGTAGGATAAAGGTACAATGACTAAAGAAGCTCGCACAGGACGTGCGAGAGAAACGAGAGACGAAAATAAAACTCCTCTCTCTTTATAAGATAGATTTTAGGTGTTTAAATATTATAGCTAATAGCACTAAATTACTTAAAAGATATTTAAATTAACAAAATAGTGTTTCTGTATATAGAGATAAGACAGATTAATATAATTTATGCATTTTGAAGAGTAGGAAGCAATACACGAAACAAAGTTCATTCAAATTCAGGAGTT